TGTGCACCCCTGGACCTCAACCGCAAGGATCCGATCGCAGTGTGCACTGCTGGACCTCAACCGCAAGGATCCGATCGCAGTGTGCACAGCTGGACCTCAACCGCAAGGATCCGATCGCAGTGTGCACCGCTGGACCTCAACCAGATAGTTTGCCAGATAAAATGCCAGATAGAGTGCCAAGTAGATTGCCAGATAGAATGCTGCAAGAAGATATGCCAGATAGTATGCCAAATAGTGTGTCAGATAGATTGCTAGATACATTGCCAGATAGAATGCCAGAAAATATGCTAGATAGAATGCCAGACAAAATGCCAGATAGAATGCCAGACAGCATGCCAGATAGTATGTCAGATAGATTGCCAGATAGAATGGCAGATTGAATGGCAGATAGTATGCTTCAAACACACAACCACAAACACAACCACAAGCTCACAACCACAAACACAACCACAAACACAACCACAAACACACAAATACAAACACATAACCACAAGCACACAGCCACAAACACAACCACAAACACGCAACCACAACCACAACCACAAACACAACAACAAACACAACCACAAACATAACAACAAACACACACCCACAAAGACACAACAATCGACACAAAACCACAGACACACAACCACAAACACTCAACCACAAACACACAACCACAACAACAAAACCACAAAGACACAACCACAAACACACAACCACAACCATAACCACACACATAACAACAAACGCACACCCACAATCACACAACAATAGGCACACAACCACAAACACAACCACAAACACACAACCACAACAACACAACCACAAACACACAACCACAAACACAACCAGAAACACACAATCACAAACACAACCAGAAACACACGATCACAAATACACAATCACAAGCACAATCACAACCTCAACCACAACACACAACCGCAAACACAATCAGAAACACAACCACGGCACACAACCACACACACAACCACAAACATAACAACAAACACACAACCACAAAGACACAACAATAAACACACAACCACAAACACAACCACAAACACACAACTACAAACACAACCACAAACACGTCCACAAACACACAACCACAAACACGCAACCACAAACACAACCACAAACACAACCACAAACACACAACCACAAACACGCAACCACAACAACACGACCACAAAGACACAACCACAAACGTACAGCCACAAACACAACCGCAAACACATCCACAAACACACAATCACAAACACACAGCCACAAACACACAATCACAAACACAACCACAACCACAACACAGCACACAACCACAACCACAACACACAACCGCAGCATACAACTCGAGGACCCACAAACAAAATCGAGAACTACAATACTCACGACCATGGCAACATGCTCCTCACTATGGCATCAAGTCAAATGATTGAAATGTCATGGTGGGGATCACTCGAAGTAAAGTATTTTTTTGTTTTCAGTCATTGGATCTACAGTGTACAGTATAAAAAAGCCTGGGAAGGCCCAACAGATGCGACTTTCACCACAATTCCTTTCTATCTTCTCTCACAGGAATAATATCCACAGATGTCGAACTTCTTGAACCATGATTTCTGCCCACGGGTAAAGGTACTGTTCTTGTCCGTACTGAGGTATTCTTGTCCGGCATTGTCCTTTGGGGGAACGTTCGAAGGAGTAAGAATCCACCCACTACCGGTTCCAGGGACTCCAAACACAAATGTGAGCATCCAGAACCAGGGCTTGAAGTACAAAGTTGTATGTGCAGTTCACTCATGCTGAACTCCTGCTTCTCTTTGTATAGTATGACACGTTATTAATGTTTCAGGTGTTGTTGTTTGTGGTGGACATTTTACCTGTTACCGGGGATGAGCGTGAGATGGCCAGTGTTCGTTTCCGAAGCCTCTGGTTGTGCATACGTATGGTAAGACTGCATGTGATGGTGCCTCGGCATGTTTGACCCTCAAGGGAGCCTGCGGCGTGCAAAAATTGTCGGAAGTTGCTCTTTTGAAGATAATGGCTTAGTGAGGGTCTAGGTATATGTTTAGTGTTTGCGTGTGTGTGTGTGTTTGTACATGTGTGTGTGTGTCCAAGCGATGTTTGGCTTGGAGGATCCCAAGTCAGACATGGTTTCCTGGATCCAAGGACATGCACGTGCAGCACATTCTTTCATGGCAAGGATTGCTCACTGGGATTATGCCCTGCAGGAGACTGTGGGACTGGCCACGAGCGAACCTACCGAGTTTTTCGTTGGAGCGACTGGGGGGGTAAGGATCGATGTGGTTGGAACCCCTGTATTCAATCAACATGGATGAATCAACTCAACCATTTTGGTTTCAAGGTGTTTAAGTCAACATGAATCAGTTCTGCACCGTGTCTCCAGGTCCCTTCCCCCTCCCTTCGCCCTGCCTGTCTGTCTCTCACAGAACATGGGAGTCCTGGACACCCACCAGCTTTGTTTGTCGAAAAGATCATGACATCAGTATGAAATCCGATATATATCTAAAACTATCTAAAACTAATCAGAAAATTAAGAGAACATGAACATACCCAGACAGAAGAGAACCCCAATGACCACCGCTTTCTTCTCATCCCACGCCCCGGATGGACGCGTCCAGACGACGTGTGGCCTCAGCCGACCAGGATATGAGTATGACGACGCGCTCCTGGTGGCCGAGTGCGTGCCATGCCTACCGGGCTTTTACACGAGTTTGGACTCCAACCAGGCACAAACGACCGGAAAACGCTGTTTTGCAAGAACGTAAGATATTTGTTCTTTGGGTGACTCTGACTAAGCCGATCCCTGGTACCCCCCAGTTGAGTGATCATTTCTTACTCCAAATTGAAATCAATATATCTGGGGAAGATGCTTGGGTTACAAATAGCATTCGGCTATAAAATAGATGTTGAACGGTTTTCGCTGCTTTGCCACGTATCTTGAACGCAATACGCGAACGTAATTTGAACGCAAAGGTATGCTCATGTCATCTCATGTCCAAAAGTCGAGTCATTTTTCACTTTTTGAGAGGTATGAAAATCGAACCTCTGCGGTTTGCAGCTGCTTCTTCCCAACTTTGCCCCACTCCGCCCCCCCCCCGCGAACTCGTCCGTTCGGTTTCTTGGCGCCGGAGAGAAGAAGCGACCCGTCGGTACCCAGGTACCCGAACATGGCGACCATGTGAAATCACTAAAACAGGTCGTGTCCCAGACAGGTCCCAAACAGTTTTTTAGTTCAGTCCCAGACGGGTCGTGTTGGGCTCATGGTCCGCCAGGAGAGATGTGAGAGGTGCCCGGAAGGAAGCTTCACCAGTCACGTGGCGGGTTTTTGCCAGAATGTGCCAGAGTCGACTTAGACGTCATATTTTATTGATCTGCTGTTGATGGATCAATCCCCGCCTACTGCCTACCACATTTCTTTTGCATCTGTCATCTCATTTCAGAGACAATTCCAATCTGAGACGCATCCGGTCTGGGATATTTGCTTATTTGTCTGAAGTTGTTCATATGTTTTGTTATGTTTTGCTACGTGTTAGAATGATTGTAATGCATTACTTATATAGGGTCTAGCCCATTACCAGTATATAGTTATCCTTATTTTTGAGACCTGCCTCTACTAGTCATCAGAATCCACTAGTATACTGGCCGGCTCGGGAGACAGACCGAGTGCCCCATGACCGAATCTTCGGGCAACCGCAGGGGTGAAGGGATGGTGGTCCAGAGTCAGAGGTTTCTGACGATGGAAGAGTTCCTGGGGACGTTCTTTTCGGTCCTGCATGGTGGATCCAGAAAGGACGGACACACTTCGAGAATCTTCGAGAGCTTGGCACGTGACGCCGAGACAACCCGTTCTCTAGCTTGGCACGCCGACAGTATCTACTACATGCGCCCTGTAGAGGTGTATTCTCCATTTCTCCCATGTGTTCTATTGTAGCTTATTTCATGCTATTTTATCCTACTGTGTATATGTCTGATGTGTGATGTCTCAGGATGGTTGCATCCCTGTTCAGTTTCGGTTTGTGGAGGAAATTCATCGTTCAGTCACCCGACCCAGTCGCAGTCCAAGCTTCATGGAGCTGCTGGTGAGCCTGAGTCTGAGTGTTGGTGGCACGTGCCAATCATAACAGGCATCCCAACCTCGCCAGAAGCAGCGGTGAGCTGGTTTGCCTAAGGTGAGCGTGGCACCAGCGCATGCTCCTTGTGCCGCGGCAGGTATCTTGGAGTGAGAGGGGCATTGGAGAATCCAGAGATGTTGGGAGAGCTATCCTGAGCTAATCCATTTTTTTCCCCCAGGGAACGGGTCCACTGATGTCGAAGCCCCCAATGAATGGGTCGTCCGCAAGTCTGAGCCGACCAACCAAGTCGTCCGTCAGGCTGTTGCTCTACGCGGCCAATGAGGAGAAGACCGCCTGTCGCTCCAATTTGGTCACCAATTTGCCCACGTTTTTCGCCGTGCTGCTGTGCCCTCTATGAGAGATGTTTTTTTTGCCGTCAAGCCGGGGGCAGTCGTCGTTCTATGGTGACACATGGTGACACTGTTCTTATTGGTCCACTGCCATGAATTGAAGTGTTGGACACTACACTTGCGGTGGCAGCTGCTGGGATAGTTTTGGGGAGAGTGGATGTGTTTGATCGTGATTGAATAGTTAAGGAAGTTATCATGGAGTTGGAACTGCTGTACTCATTGACACGGCCTTGACTTCCGTCGTGATGTGCTTAGACACCGCACTTTGTAGGTGCTTCGCATTCATTGCTAAACTCAGTTGTCATTGAACTTGGGGCCCCGTCTTTTCCCGGAAAAGCAACGTGGCCGAGCCAGAGCTGGTGGTCCTTCAGCGAAAAACCCTTCGTCCACCGTTGGGAGCGGTGGAAGCGGTGGGAGCAAGAGGCTGACGCTCACCCTCGGCTCTTGTATAAAGGCCTATCATCTCATCCAGCCTTTGGGCTTCGTGGGATTACATAGACCACTGAAATCATAACATGATGATCGTCCCGTGGATGGCCAAGAGTTCGGATGACGAAATGCGAATGGCCCCAGATCCACCCGATATATTTGTCGATGGGTCGATCTGGGCACCCCCAGCCAGGCTGACTCTCCTTCCTTTGAAAACACAAAGCCTGTAGAAGTGCTATCTCCCTTTTTGAACGCTCTGGAGCAGATGGTCTGTAAGGTTGGGAAAGATAGGACCCTTCATCCAAGTTCTCAGGGGGTTTTGTGTTACAACCTTACACTTCCACAGGCCAAGAGCAGGGCGGCTTTAGAGGGTCCTTTTGTCTCCTCCCTTTGGCACCCTCAGACCTCCAAACCGGTGGTGGAAGCATAGATCACTGAGTGACTGGCAGAAGGAGGGAATTAATGAAGATAGATATTTTCGTGCGAAGGGAGCGTCATTCTGCACTTCTACCACATGGCGGAGGTGTCTTGCTTCCTTTGCTTTTCCGACAAAACACAGGTGGAACTTGATGATCTTCCTCATACCCTTGGCCTGTGGCATGCCCTTTATCGTGCATGACATCCGCCGCACCCTGGGACGAGATGGCCTGGTGCGAGTGACCACGAACAGGCGCCGGTTGACGGACCCGGCGTAGAGACAATGGGACATGGCCCTACAAAAGCAGCTTTTCTTCCCAGGCCCCTTCTGAGGTACTTTGAGACTCCAGGTACTTATGTTTCTATGCGAGAACATGTGAGAAATATCTACCAGTACCCTCCAAAAAGATCGTTAGTTGACGGTTGTTGGGCCCTAACAGGTCTCAATTTGGTCCTTGGGTCACGCAACTCTGAAAGGGGCTTTTGTTTTTTGTATGTTTTGATATCTTGTTTTTTTCTTACTTTTTGGAGGTCTATAGCCAATCATGCCCCTGATGTGAATATGGTGGAAGCATGGTGGGTTTAACCGGCCAAGCTGCACAAAGTCAATCCTTTTGGCCGTTTGCTCAGCGCCGTCACTTGCTCCGGCGGTGAATCGGGGTGCAGAGTTCTGGAGCCGTGTTGTTCACACGACCAACGACCGGTTCGGAGAAGCAGCAGGTTTTAAAGGAACCTGGACCCTCAGCCATTAAGCCGTTTCTTAACTGATTATTGGAATTCCAAATTGAACGCTAGCTCCTTTTCATTTTTTGATGACACTTTAAATGGTCTAGTCAAGTACAACACCTGTAAGCATTGTGTGCCACAGTGCCAAGTGCCAACCAGTGTGCGATCAATGAACAGTTGAGCGGCTCAAAAAAAATAAGGGTGACAGGCTGAGTAGCAGTTTGTACACGAGGTGATTCTTGCCGTATAGCACCCACCACCCTCAGGGAAATCCCTCTGAAGTTCTAGTCTTGTGATGGAAACTCGATGAATTCCTGAGAACAATCAAAAAGCACCAACAAGCCAAAAGTACAGAAATCCCGATGAGCATACTTTTGCAGATTTTCGCGTACTATGTGCGTGTGTTTGAGTACTATTTGTGGATTTTATGTACTTTTTTCTTTTGGGTTTGGCATAAAAAGGAGCTTTGCAAAAGAACATTTGCATATCGAGTGAAAACCCATAGAATTAGTCGAGGGATGCTTCCATCTCTTGAATTTAGCGAGAGCAAACCTTATCTAACTCAGCACCCAGCTCTTCAAAACCTGAATGCCAGAAATCATGTTGTTTTACGACTCTGTCGGCGTGCCTTCCAATTGCTGTTGGTTGGATTGTTTTTGCACACATCAAAAGTTCAAACGTCCTATACACAGTCTATATTTTGTCTATATACAATTAAATCAGATCTTCATGACTTGAACGATTCTCCTTGCTCAACTCCAACTATTGAACTATTGGGCCAGAATGTCCAGATGGAACGGATTGAAGGTGTTGCGGCATTTTGCAGGCAAAAGTGTTGAACCAACAAATAGTTGAGAACGTTCTTCACGTGTGAAGCATCTCAGGAAGGGCTTTTGTTTCCTAGGTGAGTGGATGTTCTGGGCACCCCTATCCTCCAAGTTAGGCACCTCGACATGGAACAGCTAGCAAGGTCAAGAATTCAGGCGTTGAACTTGCTTCCGATGTAACCCACAACTTGACCCTCGAGTCGGAGTCACTTCATGAAATCTGGATTCAGTGAGCATTGAGGCATTGGATCCTGCACAAGGCGGTGAAAGTGCGTTTCACGGGCACTGGCGTGCCACAGCTGGACCGTGCAGGTCGGGCCGATGACCACGATACCTCCGGGGTGGACCAATGATGCGCCGTTGAACGCGCTGTTGTTCTTTCAAATGGGGAAGTTAAACTGGAGACTTTAAGACTTGTTCCATTAGTGAGCTCAGCTCAAAGGAGACCATATTGGTCAAAAGTACACCAAGACTGAAATACCTTGGAGGGTCCGGATATTGTCTTTGGAAGAAACCAGGTAACCAAAAGAGCCTGGCCTTGCAAGGGCCAATGTCCCAGAGGGATTTGTTTGTCCTCTTTTTTGTTTGACTGAAAGACCTGCATATGGAGGTATTGTTCATTCTCGGCATCTTCAACCACCCAAAATAGCTGGCACCATAATGTATGAATAACCCTCCCATTTGGATTTAAAAACCTCCTGTGTGTTTCAATTATAATCAACAGTCTACATTAGCTGCCTGCAGAGTTTTCTAGGTGGCGGTGGCGGTTTCGGATATGTGTATTTGAAACCTTTACTTGGGATGATGTTTCACCCACTGACTCATGTTTAAAGTTGAAACCACTGGTCCCAGGTCTCTTCCTTTGGCACAACCTTTGAAAGCTCAACCGGTCGACCATGGCTTCACGCGCGGAGGCTACGCCTACCGCGCGCGGGTGCACACCAGCCGGGAGGTGGAATTGGTCACCGCCAAGTGCCGTTCACCGGTGGTGGAGGCAATGGCTTCTTCCTCGGGGCAAGTGCAGGCGAGGTGGGCGGGTGAACGTCCGCAGTAGCGTGGGCTTGGACAGAGATGGAGGACATATGACATAGGATTGTGGGGCAGGAGTGGCGATCCGACAAACATCAGTTCTTTCGATAAGAATCAGTATTGAATCAAAAGGTCAACTCATTCCCGGTCAAAGACCTCAATTCAGGTCAAAGACCTCAATTTAGCATGGAGTTGGTCATCTAAAAAAACATTAAAAAGACAAACTTAATTAAGGTACAGAAGGACCAAGATTCTCTAGTGGGCCAGACAGAGGACGTGCCATTTTCATGTTTGTCCTCTCCAACCTCCTCGCGTCGTCGTCGTCGTCGTCTTCGAGCGGCTCGTGAGGTGTTCTGGCGCCATGCGATTGCCTTCACAGGCGTCTTAGGTGTGCCCTTCTCTTTGTGGAGCCTTGGCGGAAGACGCCCGGCGGTGTCAGCCCCTTGGGGAAGACCCCAGCGGACTCCGATGGGAGCTGTGTTTGTTTCTTTTGTTATTCAGAAGCATGCTAGATCGTGTGTGCGAGATCATGGTGATTCGCCAACCAGAGTCAAGACTGAGATTCGCCCATCTTTTTTACGAGAGAGTTTCCACATGTCACCAAAACAGCCAGAAATCCAGCAGGTTTCTCTAATCCAAATCATCCCAATGTCGGACATAGAACATGTATGCTGCATGCTCAGATATATACAGGAACACGGGTACCCCCCACCCCTGAAGCCTTCCTTTGGGAACTGGACATCGCTTTCGACGTGTGCTTACTTCCACTGGATGCACCGCACTGTGTCTTTTTTGCGCCGCAGACCAAGCGGGCCGTAGAAGGTGGGCAGCAATCGCAGTAAGAATGGCTGTGTAACAGCCCTCTACTCCCTACGTAAGAGGTTGGGCAGCTAAATTTAAGGTCATCAAGCTTTTTGAAATATAAGTATTGCCAGTATTGCATCATGAATTTGAAGATGGACTCACTTGTATATAGGCTCCACTTTGTACAGGTGACGAAATCCCACACAATCACTGTTTCGATTACCAGTAATGATTATGGTTATAATCATCGTAATGACTAATCATTGTCTACATTGACCCCTGAAATCACCCACATGAAGGTAAACATTCCATACATGTTTTGTTGTGTTCTCGCCTCTCATCTCATATGTTCAGAACTTGGTCATCACGTCATATGTTCAAAACCAGGTTGGTGCTGCTGTTTGTGCTGTACATTGCCTTCTTGGCCATCTTTTGGGAGCTTTGGACCAAACAAGTGACTGGGGACCGGACCTCGCGGGACCTCGGGGCGTGCCGGTGTCCTGAAGAGGTGGATGGTGGACCCGAAGAGAGAGCAGTGCTCGGTCCGCGGCGGGTTGGGCGGTCGGTCTTGCCATTGACCCAAAGACCTGGTGCTTCACTCGGGTCATGACCCTGGATCCGCAAGGTGCCCGAGGGTCTGGAGTGTGGAAAATGTGATTCAGATGAACTCTCCTGGATGATTTCCGAGAGCACACAAATGAAATCCTATGAAGGGCCTAGCTGAAGCTGGCCTTTGGTCGGACTGAAAGTGATGGTGCCCTCTAAAGATGGACACTGCCAGGTTGGGAAGAAGTCAGGAATACCGACAATGTGACATGATCCCGAATCTTCAGATCTCTGTCTTAATGTCCGTCCATCATATCAAAACACCTTGCGCATCCTTTCACCCAAGCTGAGGGGTTCGCTGACATGGCCATGGAATCATGATGAGTCACGCAAGCCCACCACGCATTCTCCACTCCCGAGCTTTGGGAGCTCTTCCAGCGTCATTGCGGAAACCCTGCTGATCTCACGACAAACTCCACTGGCCACTGGGTGAAATAGGCAGTTTAGGTAAGGGTTGATCACTGGGTTCTTCACCTACTTTTGAAGGTCTCGGTCTTCTCCTCATCTTCTCATTTGTCATACAGCCGAGCATGCGGACTTACTTGTACGGAAGGTGATGTGAGTCCGTCATGCCCAACCTGCATCGGTCGATGTAGCACGAACGCACCATCTTCTCATCCAAAAGGGATGATCATCCCCGACGAGCTTTTTTGAGCGTTGCCAAGGAGCGTAGGATGACAATGTCTCATAATGACCCACAGAAGAAGTTTGACAATTTGTTTTTTTTCATTTTGGAACATCTCAGACATAAAATCTGCTAGTTTTCACCTCACTGAGGTGGATCCGGCCATTTTTGTCAGCCCCCAAAACCCCATGCGGTGCAGATCACTTCGATCCCGTCATCCCCACCTCCTTCGGGGCGTGGTTCGTCTCGTCCGGCGAGGCGACGCGATACGGACGGCCCATGCGTTTGCGCCCGATTCGGACCCCCTTGGTGCGTGCGATCGGGGTTGCGGAGAACGCCCACGTTGGGCCGACCTTCGGGAACGGTTCGGATCGATACTTGGAACCGTCGAAGCGACCCACAAAGCGGATTTTCAATTGTTTGTTGGGGCGCGAACGAAGGAGCAGTACGAGCGCCCCATGTTGGCGTGTGTCTTTCACCTGGCCTTGGGCGCGACCATTGCGATCTTGGGACACTGGCTCCGTTGGCAGACCATTTCCCAAACGCAGATCATTCAGGCGGGAGGAGCGAAGGCGCTCTGGACTTGAAGTGAGCTCATTCCCAAGAGTGGTGCTTTCACTATATAGATCTATGGTGATCAATTATATCTATCATTTCATGGGGCAGTAAATGCATATACCTCCCCTGGAGCACCAGCCGGTGTTTGGCACTCCCAACACCGGTCCGGTCGGCACATGCAGGATGTCCAGGTCTTCGATCGTCAGCTCCGGCGGCGCTTTCCTCGGCCCATGACCTGTGACTTGGAACCCGTCGGCCCACGGCCTGAGCGCAGGAGATGCGAGTGGTTTGAGACCAGTGCATTCAGAGTCGAAAGCTTGTAGATTGCGGTATATCATCAACATGTGGGATTCTTTTTGGATGTGTCGTTTCTAGATGCCTTTAAAGAAAGGCACTGCTTGCGCATCCCACTTGAGAAGGAAAGCCATGGAAGAGCACACACACATAGCTGGTGTTTGAGTGGCAGTATTCCATCCATCTTCACTCGACTCCAAAAGACTCAATTAAACATTCAGAAGATTTCAGAAATATCTTAGACATCCAATGCCTTTCGAGTGTCCCGTTGTCGTGTCTCTCTTTTTTGAGGGGGGGTTCAAGTCCTCCGCGTTTCGGCTGTAGCACGGGTCCGTTGACGGGGTCTCCCGGAGCACCGAGTTCAGGTGAAAAGGGTCCTGCAAGGGCGATTGAGCCGCAGCAACTGCTGAGATTTCTGGACTTCTTCCGGAACCACATAGGCGACCATGGCGAGATTTTGGCGGTCCAGGTTCTAAACTGCATGTACTTTCGTTCGGGAACATCTCATTTGACTGATCCGGTCCAGCTATTAAAAAACACGCGGCCCCCCCTAATAAGGAAACCTCGGTCGCCTTTTTTTAAATAGGGGGTCCCTGAAATCGGGGTGGTCCAAAATGGGGTCACGCGGGAAGAGCTTCAAAACCAAAAAGTCACCCAGGAAAACTTTAGATAAAACTCCAGATCGAAGGTCTTCCTTTTTCCCTACAAACACTTTTATTAGAATAGTGGTTCTTCATTAGACTAACAACCAAAGCTTTCGAAAGGTGATGTCGCTGTGCCATGCGGTTTTGCGTGACCTCGGTGGCAAGTGCATTTGCGTGAGTCCGTGCCATTGGGGGAAGGAAAGCCTGCTGGTGTAAACGCGGCGTGTCATGGTGGATGGACAGAGGTGGGCAGTTACGGTTGTTTTCGAACCTTAAAAAGACTACTCCAAAGTTGGCAATGTTGGTAGCTTAGTAACGGCTTGAAAGGGCTGTAATATATAAACACATATAAGCCGTATTTAGGGGTTTCCGACATGACCTTTTTCTAATAGGTGTCCGTTTTTAAATAGGTACTCGTGACGTTTGACTTGCTTTGACATGATATATATGATCACTTGGTGGAAGAAATTCTCACTGAAGTGCCTGGCTTATGAGACATCACGGGCGATCGTAGGTGAAACATGGTGAAACGAACTAGTCGTCGCGAGGGGAGTGGATGAGGATTGCCACATCAAGTTTTTTTGATATGGGTTACGGGTTGTTGTTTTTTCTACACAACTTCTCCTATCTGGGAACTTTTCCTATCATTTCCTATCTGGGATTTGAGGTTGATTGGGGCATTTGTTGTCTTCTGTTGTGTTATACTTCTTTTGTTCGCCGAAACATCCGTTTCCAGCGGAGGGACTGAACGGACTGTCGAACGTCTTCGACCACGTCGGTCTATGTACGTCTTGTGTCCAACTCTGGTGTCGGAATGGAGCCTGTCGATCAGCGGAGAATGAAATGAGCAGAAAATGAGCTTAATATGCATGAGTACTATATAGCTCTTGTTGCCACTTTGACTTTTAGGACCCCAATAATTGGGTGATCGCAGGAGAGAAAATACTTGTATGACAAATATATTTGGCAAAAGGTTACACTTCACTTCTCTCACTTACTTTCACTTTTGTACTCTGAATCCATTGAGATTTTCTCTCAACTTTTGGAGACAAAATATTTGTGGAACTCACACCCATACATGTTGGCCCATGATGATTCGGTGATCTTCGGATGCGTTCCCAACCATGTCTCGCTGATTTCTCAACAAACATGACAATTTGTGGAGTTTCGCCTCCAAAAAGTTGGAGATATATTTTGCAAACCTCCAGCACGTTTCGTGTCAGCTGGGCGGTCGAGGCGGTTCTTTCCGGCATTGCAAGAGAAAACACTTGTTTGGTCATGTGGAGTTGGTACCTCATGTGGAGTTGGTCATACTCAAACACTACTCAATGAGGTCAAAGACCTGGTTTTACTGGGTTTTTGGAATACCTGCCAGAACCATCGAATGAGACTCCAATGTGGGTTTGAATTTTTGGGCACCCATTGGACGCTCTCCATTCCGGAAGTCCATGCGCTGCCAGGCAATCGAACGACCTACTATGTGGCTGGTTGGCAAAAGTTGTCTTCCTTGACGGGAATCAAATACCATCAAATCACATGCTGTGATCTCATGTGAAAAAACCCTATCAGAAACCCAAACCCAAAAGAAACATGGGAACCAGATGCTCTTCAGCACATGTGGATGTTCAGCACATGCTCACCCTGCTTCCATCTCCCAGGTGCCGATTCGAGATCCAGAGCTATGTCCTTTTCCGCTCCAAAATCTGTCCACCTTCGTTCCACACACTGTGTGCCACCCCTCACAAAATGCCCAACTGAAACCACTTCCTCGTGCTAACCCGCATGCACCGGTTCAGCAGCTCCTGATGCTCAGATCCTGAGTACGTGGGGACAGCAGGGATTCTGGGGTCGAACTCAGGTGGTGCACAACATCATTCTGCCCCTCACGGAGCCCTATCGCTTATCCTATGCGGAGGTGGCTGGACCTTCCACGTGTCACCGGCGATGGTTCGTGAGCCACTATTGGGGCACCGACTTCGCCACTTGAATCAGATGAAGGGGGGTCGCTGCGTTGATATTTCGGGGGGCAATGGAGGGGGAATGCCAAAGATCCACCTCAGAGGAACCCTCTCAAACGCACAGATCGAGGAACCCTCACTACACGAGCTGCCTTCTGAGAGATACTTTTGCTCAGATGGATCCATGTTGTCCATCATGGCTTTGTCACAGGTCCAGACTACTAGAGGAGGGTCAATCACGAGATAGCCAATCGGAACATTTAGGAAGGATTAAAACAAACCCAAGCTTGAGGCCTTGGGAAAGGTCTCATGAATCATCATGACTCATGACTCATGACTCATGACCATCTCCCACATACGCTGTTTGTTTCTTTAGGATTGTCTTCTTGTTGACATATGTGTCCAACTTCCCGGGTCCTGCATTTGGCCTCAAAAAGTATACGTAGCTTATTGGTACATCACTAAATGCGGGGTTCACGGATGTGAACCGTTTCTTTGAGAGGCCTCTCTGTTCAGTCAATGGTCCCGTTCAGGTACGTCTACGTTTAGGGGTCCCCGTCCACTTCGAAGGTTTCCCGCTTCGGCCTTCGAGACGTGGGGACGGCGTGGAACCGTTCCAGTGGAACGCCCGAGGCACATCTGGTGTCGAGTGTCGAACGACATTCACAAGACTGTTCGACTGACTTCACCGAGAAGTATCCCTACTGGATCTTCTGGCGATGAGAGAACGCATTTTTTTTTGTTGTTGTTGTTGTGTGTGTTTATGGTCTCACTTGGTTTGGAGCACCCACTGCTATTTGTTTTTTTTGCGGCAATGTGAGCTTGTGTTTCATGTCTTTTTGTCGGCGTCTCAACCCATCCATGAGCCAAAAACACTTGCGGGTAATGAAGTATCCTTCAGACGGTTGGTGGCTCCAGCTGCTTCAGGATTTGCACCTTTAGCAACAATCAGTGGGCCGTTTCCGAGGCGCTTCGGTGTGTTCCGCTTTTGCGGTCGACCGCGTGCTTGGATTTTCCGGTCGTTGCGTGGATATGTGGCCTTTCAGTCTGAAGACTGCAGTCCGGCCTATGACTCAAACATAGTAGACTGATATGAATCCGTTGCATTTTCACCGATAGGATTATTGATTAACCAATTCCATCCAATTCCATTGAGTCGATCAGAGAAAGGTGCCCAGCGGCGGGCTTCCGGTGTAACAGTCATGGCCGGGATTTCGATGCATTTCGTGCGGATCGAACCTGAAGCAAACCAATCATCACGCACCAGAGTTGTTTTTTGCAGGAGCTTGGTGACAGCTACTTGGAGTCTTCCTTCTACCAGGCTTTGCGTGGTAAGGCCGGCGTTTGTTTTTCCCGAGGTTTCAGGGAAGTGGAACCTCGTGGTGTGAGAGAAGCTGGGTCCTGCGTGAAACCAAGCATGTTCCTTGGGGACTCTGGACTAAGAAAACGATGCACAAACATGAGGTCGCAGCGCATTCATCAACATGGAAAGCCAAAAGTGGTCAAAAAGTCAAGGTACTAATAAATTAAGACAAGCTAGTTTGTCAAGCATGTGCAAGGATTGTTGATCCGCTGTAGTCAGATTCCGAAACCTTCCGATCAATCCAACCTTTTTGGTCAGGCCCTTTACCTGTCACGTGCCTCTCAATCCCAAACCCATCTTTGTAGAGTGGCTCATGTGCGCCTGATGCGCGCTCCTGATGCGCCCTCAGGGGACCTTGGGCACGGTTATGGTCTTTGATGAAGAAGCCATGCCGTTGACTCGCTCCTGGTGCTTGTTCGAGCTCTTGCAGACGGTGGCCCGACCGATTTGTGGACGGACAACCTGGGCCAAGAAAGGTTGAAACATGTTGAAACGTTTGTTGGGAAAAAAACCGGGTGGATCAATGTGAATCAGCAAAAGAGTTTTGTGTTTGCATCCCAACATAGGGCATGGAGCCCTATTTTTGCAATCCTTTGGAGCTGTCCACGTTTGTGGTTGTTCCAGTGAAGAACTCATGTGACCTTCATCTCTTTTAGCGCAAAGGGATTGTTTACTTCAGGTCCGCTTACTCATTCTCTCATGTTCGGGGTATGTACCACCGACCGGTCCAGTGGTTGTAATACCCGTTGAGTCTTTTTTTGCCTCGGAGTGCTTCGTGGTATTTCCTGAGCTCGTGGTATGCCATTCATCTTTAATACGATGGAAAAGGAAGTTTCTTGCAAGACACACAAAATGATGAACCATTTTTGGAACCAAATGGATATTCGGAGGAATGTCGACTGGAACCTTTGTGCGCCTCAAATTCTGAACGATCCCTGGAGGGTCTGGCGATCTGTGACGATCACCAATCGAGGTGCTTCTGCGCGGCAGCAGCCATGACTTCAAGGGCCTCATGTCACGTGGCGTCGGTTCGGAATGTCGACGGCAGACGTGTGGCGGGCAGCGTCAGATTGGGTCTGTTCGAACTTAGCTGTAACAGGACCCGTAAACAAGCAAGTCACTACTTTTGGACAATGCCTCTACTAACCATAATCCACTGCTACAGGTAATAGGATAGACCCAGCTTGTATGGGTCTGAGTCGATGTCCAAAGGGGGATTTGCCAAAGTTCCTCTCATGTGCCCACTGTTGGACAGTCCATGCTGCACCGATCAAACATCAAATACAATCCACAAACAGACATACTTTCGGTGTTCTTCCCCCAAGGTAAAAGGCTAGAATCATTCTCACTATGTTGAAAGGGAAACGAAACCGATATTATAGATTCACTTTTGACTGCCACTAGGCGGTGGGGAGATCACCCTACAGAAATGCTGAAGGATCCTGCACCTAGCATGACATCCAGTCTCAAAGACATTCACAAAACTGGGAGTGTTTGTTTTCAAAGGCATCCGGTTGTTACGTATGTGGACGAACCATGCACCAGAGCTTCAAGCCTCCAATTTCAATTGTCCTCTCATGATTCCTACCGACAAGCTGCAGGTCAGTTGTTGTTTTGGTCTATATAATATACAATAATAACAATATACATATTATATATAATATTTTGCCTGACTACAGAGAACTAAGGTACACCAGGCATGTACCACCATTGTTTTGAGGACCCAACCAGAGATGCTCTTGTTTTGACTGGGAAACATCGCATGGTGTAGCGTGAACCAAGGATTAGATTGGTTGATTACTTGGTTCATGGTGTTTTGGATCAAATGAAACAATAGACAGATTGTCAACGTTTCTAAAGTCCAATAGGTTGCATAGATTGTAAATGTTCTTCCAGCTTGTGACCCTTTTGGCTCATTCTTTTGGGGATTCAATGACCCCAGGCCGATTCACGCTTTGAGGCTTTGTTCTCCGCTGGGCACGATGAACACAGGGAGACTTGACGGATTGAGAAAACGCTGGGATCGCTGGGGACGTTCGGCATCGACATCGGGGATCGCTTTGTCTTGCTTTGAGGGCACAGGAGGGTGCTCATTTAGGATGTTTTTTGGTGGTGGGCTCAAAAAAAGAACAACAATGTTATAGGTATGGATGTTTCCTGACTCATGACGTTCAGTAGGTGAATGGATGGTACCCTCATGGCTGGCCCAAGTTTCACTTGTCCTCAGATCTGCGGGAAACTCTGTACTGCAAATGTCCTTCGAAATCTATTTTTGCTTTTGGCATGTGACATGAGTAGACTGCGCAGTGGTGATGTTCCCATCGTTTCAGAGTACATGGCACAAATGCACACACCATTCTCTGTAGAGGGCCCATTCTTTCAGTGTATGGCTGGTTCAATTTCTGGGACATTCCCTCTTTTACCCCTCTGGTCATCCACCCAGCCGCCAGAGGTTCTTTGGTAGACTGGTTTGACTTCGAAACACATGACGCAGAAGTGCAGTCTCGGATGTGTTGCCTCATAACTTGAACAGCTGCTGAAGCAAACATGTGCAACCAAAGCACAGTGTGGCCCCAAGTGGTCAGAGGCATGTGACATGATCGCAGAGGCAGGCTGGCACGATCTCGCAAAAATATTTTCCGGCACAGCTTTGTTCTCTTTGCAGAACTCACAACTTGCACCATCTCCCAGACTGACCCAGTCATTGGGGATGGGTACCTTTTCGCAGGTAAATGCTGCTAGTGTTGCCCCCACAGAACATGTTTTTGCGCAGGAAGGGAAGCCTGGACCTTGCCATGAATGTCTCTTGGGCAAGTTCATGAGATTGTCTCTTGAGTCTAAAGCTCCTGTTCAGAGAGTAGGAATCTATACAGTATATGATTATATATATATATATGTTTGAGAATAGGAATCCTTGAGAATGTCTTCCGCTTACCGTGCGCAGAGTTTTTTTTGCTTATTATTATTTGTTTAAAACTTGATTCTCATCGAGTGTCTCCATGTGTTGAAGGGCACCGGGGCCACGTTGACGTTGAGGACCCGAGATGTCGTTTTCATGGTGGTCAAACCGATAGAATATTTGATAAACACGATGTTCAATAGGACAGGCAATTGAATGTGCTGTAGTTATAAGCAAAACATGTCTAGGGGAAAGTTTTTTGTCTAAGTATTTGTTCAGAGTCGCCCTCTAAGGGTTTTTGCCATGGTTTTGCTCCACATGGGCACTCGAGTCATTTCGCAGTGTGTGTTGTTTCTATTCTTTTGTCTTCAGCTCTAGATCGAGAACACCTGTGATGGATGCTTACTTTAAAACATAACATAATATATATATATATATATTCAACAACCTTTAGAAGGGCAAGGAACTATTAAACCCCCGAGAAACGCCATGCATGCACTTGACTTATCCCTTACATTCCATTTCTTTCCGCGTGAGAACCACCAGAGAGGTCCCTTTCACTTCGGGAACTGCCCAAGATTGTGCCCTCAAGTTTGTGTAGCTGACTAACCAAAACAACCAAATCCAAACCCAACCAACCAAGAAACCACGAGATGGTCCAAGACGGCCAATTCAGGTGAGCAACAAGCTTGCAAAATTGGACCTGGAGGCTGCTGAGGCCAGCAACCGAAGTGACAAAGACATGATCGACAACCTTGTGAGAGGCTTTTCTTGTATGGAGGGCGGGTGATGGTGACTTGACAGGTAGTTCTTTGGGGTGAAGCAAGGAGCTTGGATATGACCCTGCACAAATTATGTTTGATCAGAACCAAGTTGTATAGGGGGCAGCTTTAAAGATGCTCTTTTGGCAGCACAGAGCAAACCGGTGTCTTGTGAGCGGTGAGTTTCATCGAGGTTTTGATGGTGTTGTTCGAGCCCAGGACAGGAGGGTGGCTTTGAACAGATCAACGAGTTTCTAGTCGATTCCATCTCCGAGGCCGCTGCGCTGCGCTGTTTGTTTTTGGCAAAAGATGCTGCACTGGTGATTTTCATACTAATGCTTTGGAGGCCCGAATTCGGACTTTCCACCTGCTCCGAATGAATTTGGAGGATTGAACATTGAAAGGGGCATGGCACCTTTAAGATCCTTAAACAATACTATATATTTTGGGTCATGCAACTCGTTTTAGATGTTTAGATGTTTAGATGTTGTTTGTAGACAATGTGCAGTGCTTTTGCAACATACATGTGTGGTTCCTGTTCCGAAAGTGGTGTGGAGTTTGCCATTGGCCTTTTTCTGGTTTTGAATGTCTGAAAAGAACTATACAGACTATACAGTACCGAAATCCAAACCATCCTTATATGTGAAACGTCCGGACCCTTTTGTGTGTTTGGTTTCTCTTCGCATACGGCCGGCAGGAGAAAACGGCGGGATCCGTTGTTCTGAGGGTCCACGGCGTTTCTTGAGCTGTGTTCTACACACCTGCATGGCGGGTTGGAAGGTGTAGCATGGCGAAATGGTTGGTTTCAAATTCTTTGCCACGGGGTTGCAGCCATGATATTATAATGTAGACTCTTGATAAATAAACCTCTCCTTTGCAGAGGAGTTTCCAATTCAATTGGAGGGATTTATTCATCAAGAGTCTACATTACGGTATATTATTGATCAATATTGATCTACTATCCCTCCTTCCGACCGTTTAGGGGAGTAAGCATGGGTCGACATGATTCCGGTGAAAGACCTCGCTGAAGTTGGTCCCAAAACACGACTTAAGGATCCAAGGAGGTGACCAGGTTCTACGGGGCATGGATTGGACTTGGCAATGCCTTCGCCCGCCTAAAACGAACGGCTTTGAGGTGCTTCATAAGCTGCGCGAACAATTCACCCGCAACATCGATAGCCTGGAAAAAGATCTCGCCCGGAAGATGAATCGAAACTTGGCCAAAGGCCATGAGAACGGAGATGACTATAGGCTAGACGGGACAGTGGCTAGATGTGGCCAGAATAGCTGGATGATCGAGATGAAGCCAGATGTGGATGCGGGGTTCGGGGTGGACGAAATCACCAGATTGAAGATAGCAAATTCAGAGGTGGCCATGAGAAGGGAAAGGAGGGTGAGGAGATGTCCGGTCAAATAATTCTGCTGGATTGACATGTGACATCGGCAAAACCGGCCATTTGCGCCTACAATTATTTCTTATGCGCCCCCCATTCACATGGCATTCGTTCAAAGGGCCCTGCAAAAAAGCCATGCTTAAGCACACAGCACTCGAGGAGGGCGCAGGGGCGCGCCTTGCGGACGCCTTGCTCCGATCGCCGTCCTGAGGTGCTCAGATCGAGCGCGCGCGAACACAGCTGAGCCTTCAACACCGAAGATCCATGCCACCGCCTTCCAGGACGGCAGCAGCGAACGACAGCGGGTGACGGGTGACGACAGGGTGACGACAGGTTGAGATGAATCCGGAGTGTTACAAACTGGATTGTTGTATTGTGGGTGGGACATGAAAGGGAAGCTTGGAATGCTCCAAGCATTGTGATTCGTTCACACAGGCTCGGGTTTGTAGCTTGGAACTGTTGAAGTTGTTTCCGTCCAAGCAATGACAGAATGTAACATTATATTGATATACTGTATACGCTATGACAACCCCACCAAAACAACCTTTGTGTAGGCTCTATATGGGAGTGGCTCAAATCCCAGGAACCCTGGTTGACCTTATAAAACGAACAAACTCCTCTATGTTTGGGATGTCAACAAGATCAGGGGCCCCGCATGTGGACCCACCGGCGGACTTTGACTCCAGGCCACTGGGCTTCTCCATTTCGGTGCCACAGATGGTCGCCTCACCCTCGACGACGCGTGCTTCACCTGTTCGAGTGCTGAACCTCCCATGGCCAGCGATGAGACTGATCAATGTGGGAAGCACCCCATGAGCATTTCTGGCCAAAGGATGCCAGTCATACATCCAGTCATTTTCCGTCAGACCCAGGCTTAGATCGAATTGGAATGAATTTGATTGGTCCTTGTACAGTACCATCGAGTAAACCAGGCACCATCGAGTTTGGGAGCCACGCCGCACAACTGCTGCTGCTTCGCCGCTTCGCCGAAACGCGGCAAACAAAAACAACACCCGAAGGAGCGCGGGAATTGAGAGGATCCAATGGATTTCACCGAAAAGGAAAAAGAAGCACTCGCAGTAGCAAGGACCCAAATCCGTAGAAACCCTGGCTTCTGGTTTGACCCCAACCTAGAAGGTCGGTAGAAATTGTACATCTGAAAACAGGACCATCCGAGCTTAAATGTTTAGATAATCTGTCGACGCCGAGGAGTCCACACCCAGAGTCGGATGGTGCTTGGTGCTTAACATTTCCCATCGTGTTCCCATGTGTTCCGTTGGATCCACTGGCCGTCAGAAAGAACGAGACCATTCGTGGAAGGAGAAACGGACCGTGCACGGAAAGAGAAACGGTCCGTGGGAATCCCAAAGTACCGGTCACCTCAGAGAGTATATGTGGATCTTGGTGGAAATCTTAAGCTGGACGAACACCCAAATGTTGGGAGGTTGATCAAATAAGATAGAAACGACTCACGTCCATGTTTAAAGGATTTAACGGTTTAATATATTAGCTTTAGCACATTTCATACCTGGAACTTCAAGTGGTGCCCAATGGAGATCCGTAAGTAGTGCAGGGTCTTCCAAGGGTAACTCCTTGGAAGGTGCTCATACACTTTGTCCTGTTTTTTTTGTTGACCCATCCCCCAGACACGAGTGTTCGGCCGCTCGACGATGTTCGGCCTTCGTCGAGTGGATCTTCCAATTCCGAATTAAGGCGATTGCTTTGCTGGCCAAGTGGCACCCCACAGGCGCCTGAGTCTTCGGAGGCTGCCCTTACTTTCTGCGTGTTCTTCTGTTCGAAACGCCCTTCACCCCCTCTGGGCGAGGTTGGGAATTGATGTGTGTTTTCACGTGAGAAAACATCAATGCATACTTGGAGGTGGTGATGGAGCTGGTGGTGACGGGAGCTGAAGTGTTGGTTGAGGAACTGGTGCTTTTGAGAGCAGCCACAGCATGGAGGTTTCGTTGGATTTGCCACTGCTTTGTGAGGAGATTTGTGGACAAAAAACGGTTGTGGATGGATTTTGGATCGGTGATGAATGTTGTAGTGGCTTCAAGATAGGTCCACCATTTGTTCATTGCACTGGCCTCAAGAACGCGAAGTCCCAGTCATAGTGTTTTCGTCCGGGAAGGACCTTCCCTTCCACCAACGAGAACAAAAAGCATAAACAAGCAACGTCTTCGCATCTCTCAGATTTTCACCGGTTCTTTCGGCATCGGTTTCCGCCGATGACCCTCGGTGTCCGCCCGCCGTCAGGTCGCTCGATCCTTCAGGAGTGCTGTGCCTTGGTGGAAGCGCCCCCGATCCAGGCGGGGTCGGAGCAATTCGCAGGCGATTCGGGTAGTATAGGACGAACAAAAACGGTGGAACAGGAGGAAGATGCAGGTGGAGTAGCCTCTTGTTTTGGAGAATATCATAGAATAGTCATATCGAAAGTGTGCAAGGCAATATTTTCTGTCATGTTTGCTCCTTTTCGACTCCAACATGCAATTACCAATAAAAGAGAACGGCTTCCTTTTTGATGTAGCTACAGGACCCACACCACCTACTTTGCATGACTGGATCGTTGTTTTCCACACGAAAGACCAGCTGCCAGGCGCGTTTGCAGGACCGCAGCGACGGCCTACGCTTAGCGCTGTGTACCGAGCAATTGCTCCTGCACCCCGGCACGAAGGCAGAGAGGGAGACTAAGACATCGCTCAACAAGAACAAGACCTTCAACAGGTTTCACCTGTTTATTTGATTCAAGATGCCGTCCTTAGCCATTGTTCAGAATGTTTCACCTTCATTCATTTTATTCAACAAGCTGTTCTTTAACTAAATGTTTCAGACTGATGTGTATATGTATATATGTGTTGTAATGTTTTGTGTATATATATATATACACATTATTCAACATGCTGTCCTTTACATCCACAAAGCTGTCCAAGAGACAGACATGTCACAGAGTTGCAGGTATGTAAATATTCAACACCTCCCACATGTTGTCAGAGTACTCCATGCCACTTTTGCACAGCTTCCATCAACCTCACAGACAAAGAGATGCCTTACTCCGTCCTTCTCCAACAAAAGAGTGATGAATTGGATAGATTCCAACAATGCCGGTTGTTCCGTGGTGAATTTGAATTCTTCCGTCGGCCGGATGGACCCGATCCGCTCGATCAGCTGTAGCTGGATGGATCCACCCGAAAGCACAGAGCCCCTCCACGACCTGCACCAAAAGCCTCGCAACACGCACCTCCTCAGATTTTTGTTTACCAAACTTTGCGATTTGAGCTCACACTTTGGCTCGGCTTCTTCACCTGTTTGGTTGATCAGTGAATTCTTGCCTCACTTTTCGTTACAGTTGAAAGAAGCTCCGGGTGAACCCGGTCCCGCAGTCCCGCAGTCCGGTTTCGGAGAGGTTCACAGTTCGATCGGTGCACCCAGGATGTGCCCCTGGGCCTTGTCCGACGCTCCTGAGGAGCTGGAGGCGACTTTCACTTCACTGGCTGGAGAGGTTTGGCAAGACTTTTCACTGGCTCGAGAGGTACCTGCTTTTATAAGCTTTCTTAAGGATCTTAAGACATAACGAGACATATAAGGAGTTTTGAAGCGGCTGGAATTGTGTGGTTCCTTGCTTTCTTGTGGTTCCTTGCACTTTTTTGGGGGAGGTATACTGGCAGTATACTGGGGGGATTGAGGATGTTCGCATCAATTTTGCTGTGATTGCCAGGGAGTCAGTATAATTCAATAACCCAGGCTGTCTCAGGATCGATAAACAGCCCCAAAGTCATAGTTCAGGAGCAGAGAAACGAAGAAGGCAGATGCGGAATGAAAGACAGGAAGAAACATGGAATGCTGGCTGTTTGGGGGGGGGGTCGTTATGGTGTGGTTTGTCAGTTTGGGTTGCCCACAGAGCTGTGACCAGATCGAGAAAAGTCCGGCATTCTCAAAATGCCTGAAGGACATGATGAGGCTTGAGGGTCTGGAATACTTAATGTGGAACGTAGGCGTATGCAAGGGGTTTCATTAATTAAGCTTTCATAAATACTGTCACCTCACACCTGGACAACTGGCAAGAAAGGATAGCGAGACTTAGCCAAAACGGCTTGGGCACGCAGTAGCCCCCACTCCAGCCCCAGGAAGGAGAAGTATACAGAGGGTCCTTGATGTCCTTGCCCCGACTCCGTCGGGCCCCTGCTCTCCACCTAATTGGCACCTTGGGTTAGGCCTCAAAATATATGAGCCAAATCGACCTATCAACGAGGTTTGCAGAGCATGTTTCGAATGTACGCTTGAAAAGGATTGTTTCGCAACCCCTGCCCGCACCACTTGGTTGGGGATGTGCGGGGCATAGGCTGCGCGAGCCGAGGTGCTTGGATTGGGGGGGATGGTGTCCGAAGGGAAGGAAGATGAAAAACACAGCGTATTTTTTTCATGTTTTGTTTGACTTTGCCTTCAGAGGTCAGTGACCGCATGCGAACCGTCAGGCTTCACATCTCCCGTGTCACACCGGCCACGAACCGCCAGGCTTCAGAGAGCACGGAGAGCGGCCCCAGGAGAGCGGCCCGAGACCGGCGTTCCTGAGGAGAAGGAAAGGGCATCTCCAAGGCATGTGACTTGATGATAGTTGATTCTAGAAACTCGTACATTACTTACTGTACTGTATTTGTGTGTGTGAGTGTTGCATACAATATACTAAATTACAGGTATTATTCTATGCATGGATACCAAAGGTTTCCAGAATGCCATGATGTTACTTCTTATTTCAGGCGGCGCGCAAGGAATCGGAGGTCCTGCCAGCTCTATTTTGCGCTGAAGTAACAAACACTCCTGGCAATTGAACATCCATGCCCTTGTCAACACTTAAAAAGCATCCGAAGGTCCATTCAGGTCTGTTCTTTCCTGTACGTTCTTTCCCTGAGAAAGCGAAACTGCGCAGATGCTGCAGAAAACTCCAATCAATAGAGAAAGCACCTCAGGAGAAAGCTCTTCGCACGAGTCCTTCAACGTTTAGCCACTGGAAACTTGAAGGCTGCGGGCGCTGCAGGGTGGAACAATTGCGAAGCATGCAGATCAAGACTCCAGGCAAACTACTGTATCCAAGGAGTCCGAAAAAATTGGCCAATGGGAAAGGGGACTCAGAGCAGATCCATGTAGAAGACCAAATGTACTTCAATACTTTGGCTCAGACACCAAATTACTATACAATCCATTTGGTGGATGTAAATGTAAAGGGTCGAACACCTGGCCAAATCCATGATCACATTTGGAACTGAAACACATGCAGGCACCGAGGCCACCGGAGGTGGATGAACTCCCTTGCTGTCACGTGCAGCTGTAAGACTTGGCATGGGTGCTGCTCCAAAAAGGAAGATAAGCACATGCCGCCTATGCCCCTGCGATTCGTCATCTTCTGTCCCGTTTTCATCGCCTTCATCCAGCATCTACTCTGCAAGTTCGAAGGAACATCGTTTGACCCTTTGAAGCCTGTTGAACCAAACAAACCCTGTGTAGGCAGTTCGCATGGACACAGCAAGAAAGACCTGAAAAGCCTTACTGTACGCGGTCCCCTGCTTGGTTGGAGCCCATGCGGGCGCCCTACCTCCTTACGATAAAAACAGAGCGTGACTCAGGTGTACAGTGGGACAAAACTGCTGAACAAAAGCTCTGATTGAAATCATTGAACACAGTGAGTTCCCCTCAAAAAGAATGACACAATGGACCAAGTCAGAGAAGGACATCTGATCCTTTACCACACTGAGAAGTGTTTCTGCATGATCAACTCCTCTAAAATGAGGTCAAACAGGCCTGTAGGGGATGTTGATTGCTTCGAAGCGCATTTCAGATCATCACAGCCTTTCCTTCGAGGACATTTGCATACCCAAGGAGACAGTTCAACTTGCACTTCATATTGAAGTGGATGGCACAACCTGCAGGGATGAGGATTTCATGGTCATCCGAAATCGGGGCTATCCCATCCACGTAACAGTGCTTGTTTCAGGGAGTGTAATTCTTAATTTCGCGCAAGAGGTGTGCTAGTATTGTGCCTGATTGTCCTGACTAAATAAGATACGTCTCAAGTTCTGCGCTGTCAGAAGTACCTTTGGATACCACTGGGTTTCACGGAAGGTCGTCGTTCCAAGGTTGCACCCCAAATCACGAAGATCGGGTTGTCGTTCTTGGGTCACCAAGGGGTGCATAGACTTAAACCAATAGCGGGCCTTTGCTGAGCCCAGCTTTTTGTGAGCTAGGTGCATTTCTCACCAGATCAGGAGTTTGTGAAATGAAACTGACACTCCCGTTGCTGGTTCATAGTTTAATCTTGTGACAGAACGATATATATAATATATGTAAATGCCTGCAATGTCATTTGCTTGCACACGAAACCGCCCGTCAAACAGTACACAGCAAACAGCGATCAACAAAGTATCTGAAATATATTTATATGTGGGTCAGGAAATCACTTAGACTTAGCTGTTGCCAACATTGTCAACTCCTAACACTCCAACTACCTCCTGAGAGGGTAGTTAGACCTTCAAACTCACCTCAAACACCATCGAAACGGAGGTGCTTGGAACCCTATATGTCTTTGGATTCCCAAGTTTGTTGGCCCTCATGGGATTAGTTTGGGCCCCAACGGTGAGAATAAGAACAAGGTGATGAAAGTTTGTGATTGAACTGGGGGATGGTTCTGATCATAGAACTCAAAAAAGGTTCCTAGCCTGAGGTCCCAGTAGAAATATCATGGCCTGTCCAATATTATGTGACATCCCCATGTTGTTTTTCGTTTGTCGTCTTGAATTGAAGGTCCATCTTCTCGGGGCCGACGTCAACGGGTCGCCGCGTTTCGTACCACGTTTCACCGGCCATGAAATTCGACGGGTCAGGTGCTGCGCGCGCTCTTGTCGGGTTTGTTGGAGCTTTGCCTGGAGCCCAAGACGTAGCTCGACACGTGACTGCAGGACTGGAGGAGGTGTCCTGTCGTCTCGGCTCGGACCGTTCCGCGAGGCAGGCGATATCGACCGAAATATACCGAAATGCCTACAGACCGACTGGGTTGGGAACTCTACTTGACGTGCTATTTGGGTGTGTATTTTGATAGGGAGACCCAATGGGTTTTGGTTTATTGTCCTTCCTCTATAGGGGGTCAAACTGAGAGGTCTCCCTATGTATAATACACTTCAAGTTATACACTATTACACACCCATTTGGATCGGGAATCCACTGGATCATGGTTTTGGGCCGCTTTTTTCGCAGCCTTTGAGATAATTTGCCATTGCCCTCCAGGAAAACATGGAAAAGAGGTTTCGGCGGAGATCAAGGAAAAGAATCCACGTAACGACTCTGTCATGAATCAGAAACATCCAGTTTTCACTCAAGTGAGACGAAGTTTGGAAACCCTGCAACCTGCCAGCGATCTCCATGAAGTGCGCTCGTGCGATCATCACTCAGCGGCTGGTGAATGGGTTTGTGACCGAGGCTCTGGCGGAAAATGAGTCTTCTGCAGAAAAGGAGAACATCCATATCATCCATCAAGTCAGATCTTGTGTGAAACTTGCTTTTGGTCGTTGAAAAAAAACACCTCTCACCAAATGGGACCTAGTTTCTGTTTGCGCTTGCCTCATGAGGTCGGGACTGTGTGCAACCTGATGAGTCGGTGCTGGGCACATTGGATGTGACTGGGAGGTGGGGACATGGGCTGAAGACGCGTGTCTTTTCGCCACCAGTTCCTTCATGGAGAGCCAGAAAATGTGGAGTTCCAGAATGGAGGCCGCAATGGAGGCCGCCAGAATGCAACATGGATTCACTTGAGTTGGGGTTAAAGACCAACCCGGAACTGGCGTTGGATTCCTGAAAGTGACCTCGGATTCAGGTTCCAAAGTCTGGAGCTCTTTGGGGTGCTTCGATATCAAACTGAGGCAAACCTTGGTTTTCCTGGGTTACTTTGAAGAACTTGGTCTATTAAGTTTTAGTAATTTGAAGTAGCTCTCTGTTGCAATCTATGACCTACAATGACTCAACCCAGAACTCCTACAGGGTCTTTCTTCATGGAACTCACCAGTGAGTACCAGTGCCTATACGTCTTTGAGTCGCTGCGCCGTTCCCAAACATTCCATCTTGGGAGGTGAAAGACCGGTTGTCGCATGCCAAGTCAGGCTCCTGTCCCGGACTCCACACTGATTGGCTCCAAAAAAGTCAATCAACGCGTCAAGCCCAACTACCGATTGACTGGGGCAGGGCCCTGTGGTGCGCCCCTGAAAACTGAGAAGTTAGAAGAATATCTCAAGACCAGCCTTGGCTTTGGTGCTTGTCAACCTCAAAAACCTCTCCCTGTTCATGACCAAAACGCCAAAACAACCTCAACCTCATCCTGACATCCTCATACATCATCATACATCCTCAACCTCTCATGGTTTTACTCCAGCTGTGCTTGGTGCGATCGGTCACCGTCGTCGACCGCTCCGCCAGGCGACGGCCCCCGCGCCCCACGGGCGATGCGGTGCGCGCGGTGCGCCGGGAGCGCCAGTGGGTCGTCCCGAAGCCTTCGGCGACGAAAGGACAGCGAGCTCCCTCAAAAGGACAGCGTGTGTGTGCTTACCTTTCGTTATCTCTTTTGAGGGCCAAAGGCGGCCAAGGCGGCCAAAACATGCTGGGATTTTTTTCTGCAGCCAAAAGATGCCAAAGTCAGTCGAGTCTGGACGTTTGGCGCGGGATTGGGCGTGCCCTGAAGCGAACCCAAAGTAGATTGACCCAAGTGGCGCCGAAGGCCCAAGAGGAAGACCCATGACTCATGACATCCCATGACCTCTACTTCAAAGTGGAACATCAAGTCAGTATAGTACCTCCAAAGTAAGAATGGTTGCTGGAAATTGCTCATGTTTCAGGGCAAGTTGCCGGCAGACATGTTTTAAGTTCCCGATCGTTTTGTGCCATGGACTTTCAATCAGGGTTCCCCCAAAATCATGAAGACAACACAGGGGTGATCACTGGTCACCCATCAAAAGCAAGATGTATTTGGAGCCTGAACACCTGGTGTTGCCTGGTTTTGAGTGGTGCTGGGGAACCACTGGCTTGCAAAAGTTGTAGACCTAGAAATCATAAGTGTAGTTGTCAAACCAAGTGGTGACCATAGCTAAATTGGTATCAAAGCGTAGTCAAAGCAAAGACCGCACCAAAGCAACCAAGCACAGATTCCTCCATTCCAACACTTTTGGGGGGTCCTAACAGCTTTTTGGGGGTCCCAAACACATGCCAGGCACTTCGAGGACTGCGGTGCGCCCGAGGTCGAAACCGCCTGGAGGAGCTGCTGCTGACGCTCCGTGCCAGCGATGTCTGGCGTCGTGGGCTGCAAAGCCGGGACGCCTCGACGCAGCTGGCCACGGGGCGCCTGGCGAACATGGTGGCCAACCGCTTGGATGTGGGATGCCCAGTGGGGGGAGAGGGGTGGTACTGTGCTAGAGCCGTTGTAGAGAGACACACACACACACACTTTTGGATTGAGCAGAGACGATGACTTTCCACGATGTGAACATGCTTGATTTGGTTGGGCTATACTGTTCTCATGCGACGTCCAAAACTCATCCACAAGAGGATTACCCAGCGCACCCTCCTAAGACGTATCAAGATCCGTAGACTATAGTTCCTTCATGACAACTTAGTGTAAGGGGGAACATAGGCGTTTACAATCACACCCTTTCGGTACATTCAGGGTTTGATTGTCGAAGGTCCTTCACGTAGCGCAAGAAGGCACACGATGCGACGTTCGAGTGGCATGCTTGGTGAACACCAGGAATGTGACACACTCATCGTGTGTCGTCCTGGATGCTACTGCTAGATGTTTTGAGCTGTGGCCACAATATCCGCACAACTAGCGGTTTCATGCGGTTTCATCATTAGCCAATGTATTTAATTGAATAATCATTGTTGTGGGAGACTATGCCGAAGTCGGGTCTTTGAACAACATAAGTTGTAATATGGTGGGTGTCAAAGTATAACTAGCTCGGCGTTCAACAAACCGGGGGGTCACCCGGACGGTCACCCGGACCATCACCTCCGGGAACCTGGACGATCCGTCGTCCTGCAACCAGGACGAAGTGCTGTTGAGCTGCTTAGGCCTCATGCTCGAGGCCGATGGACGGATTTAAATTCTGGCTGGACTCACCGGAAGAAGCTGAACAGGATTTTCCTGTTCGGCCGAAATCGAAGGCCGAGTGTGTTGGAGGGCTCTTCTTTGAAAATAGTCCTTGAAGAACCAGTATAGGTCAGTTGTCCATTCCGAACGATCAGCCACTTGGCCGCCGCGACGGAGCCGGCCAGGTGAACAGGATCGCTTAAGGAGAGATGTTAATCCCCATTTTCCAAAAAAGAAGGAACCCGAGCTTGATGAAACAAGTGGCATATACTGTACCAGAATCACCCAAAGGGTGGTTGATAGACCCCCCTGAAGATGTATGTTCCATCTAATAATATCTAATAACCACCCTTTGGGTGGTTGGCACCTTACAATTGTTCACAAGCATGTTCAGTCTGTCTTCCCGGGCCTTGCATTCCAAGACTTGCAGCGGCTCAATGCCTCTCAGACATCGTTTGCAAATAAGCTAGCTGGGTATTCAGTATTCTCAGCAGCCCTGGCTGTTGGAGGTGAGGCAGGCACGCCAGACATCCACAGGCAGACAGATAAACATTAAATGCTATCGGATTCAATGGGTCTTCACAGGTGTACTTGTGATAGAGAAAGCATCAGAAAACCTTGCATAATCTTACATCCATTAATCAAATCTACTCCCCTGCAGATTAACATGGAACCCTAAAACCACTTGGTTGCAGAGGAAAATGGTCGAAAGCGTCCATTTTTTGAGGTTCCATGTAAGTTTGCTGGGGATCAGCTAACGTATCACCTGTGGGTTCTTCGATTTCCATCTTGACCGGGATGCCAGGCGGAAGCCACTCTACGAGAGAACGCTTCGTGCGGGAGCCGAGCGGGAGCGTCTGCGGCGGTGAAGAGCGTTGACCCAGCCAGAGCTTGGTTCAACCGAAAACTGAAGTGGTGGAAAAGGGGTTAAGATAAGGAATCATGGATAAGGACTCAGGAAACTGTCACTTCCATTGCTCCACAGAGCGGAAAACGGTGCCAGGGAACGTGAAGACGACGTTTCCATGTGACGGCGGTTCCGTGTGCTTGGGAGATCCGAAGGATCCGCCAGGACGACGTGGAGACATGACGTTGTCTTTGTACGAAAAGCTTTTTGGCTTTTTCGATTGCGCACGGAGGGATCAGGAGCTTGACTCCTTGGAGGGGGTTACTAACAGGTGCAGGTGGCTGCTTTACTCTATGCATGTCCTTGCTAAGAACCAAACAAGAGTCCTACAATTGAGATCCACCCCAGTTTTTGACCCCAGGACGAATCCCTCTCTTGGATGCCAATAGCTGTGGTCGAAACCTCCCAAAACATCATGATCGGTTGACCTCCCTGCAATTGTCCATTCGATAGACTTCACACACGCTCGGCTTCAGCATGAACAGCCAGCAGGGCCGACAGCAGTGAGCAGCGAATCGCCTTTGAGAAGGAACTGCAGCTTGGCTGCGTCGCGAGACCGGCGTTGATGGTGAGTCAACTATATACGTAGATCTTCGTATGAGGCACTTTTTACCGTACGGCGGCGTAAATTGTAAAGCTGCGGCGCTTCTTGATTTTGCGGCGGCGTTTGTTGGCTCGAAGTTGGGGAAAATTGTGTCAGACGCCGAAGGTTGATCAACGCACCCCAATGTGTGAACTTATTGTCAGCATACCGACCGGTAACCTTTGGGAAGATGCGGAATTGGTGCAGTGCTTGAACTATGTTTTAGCTTCGAAACGGCTGGTCGTTCCGCAAGAGTACCAACCAGTGTTTCATAACTTGTTTTCGTGCTCCAGAGTTCTCTGAAAGAGAGTGATGAGCATTCAGCACAACATTTGGAAATATGTTCTTGAGTGTCATACGCAAAATTTGCCGGAAAAAATGGTGGCGTAAATTTCCGTAATCATTTTGGCAACATTTGTCAACCATGGACCACTGAAATTGCTTGGCTTATCAGGGTGTAGCATACACATGAGCACAAAGACTCTTGTAAGGGGTGGTCAATTGTCAGAGCTTGCACAATCACCTTGGAGAGTGACCTTGAGTACCAGAAGTTGGGTATATTGGGTAAATTTGGGAATGGGAATCGTAGAGCGGTCAGGGATTTGGGACTGCGATGATGTTATCGTGGAGGTGAGTGTGGGGGTTTGGTGTGTTGCTTGGGGAATCTAACTGAGTATCCTTGAGCCTGGTGTGGAGGAGACATGCGCCATCCTTCCCCATATATGGAATGATATGGAATGTGGTGTTTTGTCTTTCTGCTGGCAATTTTTTTGGATGACGGCAATGGTCCATTCTGGTGGCCAAAAACTTGCCACAATGGAAAGCGGTAACTCTTTCGTCCACCAGGTGGATCTAGGTATTATGCTTGATTGTGGGTGATGTCTGCATTCCGAAGACCCAAAAAGACCTGACGTTCCCTTCGAACCCCCCCCTCTTCGCAAACGGGCTTGCGCCGATGCCTCGGTCGGGGAAACCGAGGCTCTCCCTGTGCATCGGCGTGTGCGAGCGCCGCCCGGACGTCGCGCGCGGCGAAGTGGCCGAAGGCGTGGAGTGAGGTGACACGGACCCGATGGGTCGGGTCGGGGGTTGGGCTGGTCGTTGGGTGGGGCATTGTTGTATTTGTTTGCACAGTGGGAAATATCGAAGGCTGAGAAGGTGAAAGACTGAAGACTGAGATTCTGGGGAGGGGGATTCCCCTCTTCAGTTAAAAGATGTTAAAATCCAAATTTTGGTGTGAGGTTTACAAGCCATCCTTGGGGGTGCCCTGTCTGTACTATTCTGTAATATCTATAATGTGGTGGATCTCCCCTGGTCCGATCCTTGATTTCAAGGCGCTGGACACTGATTTGGTTACACTTGAGACAATTAGGCACCGGGTGAGGTTCTGAGGATGGTTATTAGTAGCAGGTATTTGGACATATTTGGACTCTTTTGGATTTTGCTGGAAAGGTTTCGACGGAAAGAAATCTACCATCAAAGTCCGCAGCCAAGTGTAAAGACGAAGACATCTTCAGCGGTATTTAGCAGGTATTTACGACATGTCGAGGGTCGACTCCGTCGCGTCGCAGCTCCAGGCGTCTTGGGTTTCGTGGTGCGCGCTGCAGTCTCCGACGAGTGGCGCCAAGTGAAGGAGGTGCATGTGCTTTGGTCATCGCGGTGGTCCGACGAGCGGTCGCCGAGGTGACGTCGATGCGGTGGTCCGCACCCCCACAAAACCAATGGGTCGTCTATAGGCACCATGGATCGCCATGGAACATATTGGATACATCGGGAATTCATGTTTTGGGGAACATGTTCTGTCCCGACACCTCATGCCTGGGCCCAGGCCTTGCATTGCTGGAGGTGTAAGGCTTGCTTCGCTTATGTTTACCCAAGAGTATAGAAACTAAGATGATGAGGACATCTTGGAAAAGAGCTTCATCAAGCATGGAAGACCAACCACCATCCGGCTCATGGCTCATGGCGCCTGTATTTTTTCACGTGACGCCAAGCGCTCACCTGAGCGCTCACCTGATATATATATATATATAGAGTGGTCTCAAAGATCCGATGGTTCACAGTCCAGCGACCGGCGACAACGGTCGACTTCCGGCTGTGACGTGGTCGCTGAAACGGCCAGGCCTTGACGTTGAAACTGGGCGACGTCAAAGCACAGGCGAGGGGACGGGCCCCACGTGGCGGCGGGAAGATAGCAGTCAAGCATGTCATTGACCTTGAGGCCGTTGTAGAAAGTTTAGGTCATGCCAGAACACCGGGCAAATTTCCAGGAATGTACCTCACTATAGGAGAAATAGTCACTATACCGAATATGTGTTCTTTGAGCCAAAAGAGTGTCCAGGACTGAAGTTTTCTTCCTCGAGGAGGAATGCCCGGCTGGAAGAACATGGGATATCCAATCGGTGGGATACCAAAGCAGTGTTGATGCCGGTCCAATGGCTTCACATGTTTTGCGGATGTGTCCATGCCCTTGTCGCGAACCGGATGTCGTTGTTGGCCTTTTTGGGGGGGCCAATTTCTCCGAAAGTTACGCATCAGCCGCCCGTGGTGGCTGAACCAGGACTTCGCCAACTTTGCCTGTTTTTGCAAGTGATTCCGCCGTCAGAAGTCAGAAGTACGAAGCGTGCCTTCCAGTCTGCATGGATTCCAGACATTCATTAGCTTTTATTGGACGCATCCCCATCCAAGCAGCGCTTGAAGTGCTTGGAGACCCATCATACACTGTCCATGCCTGGATCAGACTCCTTAACAAATCCTTTTGGTCGCTAACACTTGCGGGAAACCAGTTGGACTCTGTTCTCTCGATGACGACAGGCGGCCGCACCTTGTGCTGCTTGGCATGCCGTCCTATCGCTGCCGGCACCAGCTCCAAACTTTGATATTTTCACCCTGAGAAACTCTGGCTTGATGGAGGTGAACAGCCTATGTTCACCATGTCTCATCTATTTTCCGTGGCTGCCAGATTTTTTCAGGGGCCATCCGGTTTCCAAGGGCGTCCCCGACGGAACGGCCGCCTGACCAGATGCAGCCCCCGGAAGTTCACAGCCATCTCAGCGCCAGGTCCAGCTCGTTGCATGGCGTCCAGACAGTTTCGTGGAGAAGTCCTTTTTGGGGCCATATATGCTCGCTTCTCAGGATGCGGTGACAACTATCGTTTGAGAAATCACCGTTGCAATCCGTTGCACGCGTATTGCAAAAATATGCAAAGTGTCGGTCAGGATGCTTGGGCTTGATGGCATCAGCCGCAACAGCTGCAATATGTTCACTGAAAGAGTGCCAATGATTATGAACCTGCTGCAGCACGAACTGACTCCTACAACAGTGCAACACAATTGCGTCCCCCCATTTTCAGCTGCCATGTCGGTTTGTAGAAGCAGTACCTCAAGGCCACGTTTCAAGCACCTAGAGGCTATAGCTTCCAAAGAATACAATAAATAGAGTTTACAGAGTCGTAGAGGTTATCATGAACCATCCATTTGACACATTCAAGTAAACTCCATTTTGATAGACCCAGGGATGTACTTCCAATGCATGGAGTACACTTTTGCGATTGATTCCGATAGAGCTTCAGAAGGGACATCTGTAGGGACATGCACCACCCATTCGCAAGCCAATCCAAACCCATGGGCCAATGGGGGTCTTATCGGCAGGTAAGTGAGATCCAGGTGACAAAGTCGGGTCCCCTGGTTCCTTAAGGTTCTGGATATGTCAAGAAGAGAGATGAATGCACGGCCTACGGCTGATGTCGGACGGATTTGGTTCCAGGTTAGTCGCTGGATTTGGATTTCAGACATCAACCAGTGGATTTCCCATGTGCAATCCCCCTCTAACACCCATGAAAGGCCCCGCCAAAGGGACAAAGCATGTTTCTCGCGTCAGTGGGGGGGGGGTCACTCCTCCCGCCTACTCCCGCTCCCGCAGGCGGTTCAGGAGATGGCTGATGAAGTGAAGTCCACCGCCTGGGTGCCGAGCTTCGGGCGGTCCATCGGAAGACGACGACGGACGGGGCCGTTGGACCGTTGGGAAGGAGGTGTTCACGGGTGAAATCGCCACGATCAGTTCCATACGGGGTGAGGGGAAACCTGGGAAACCTCAGGTCCACGATCAGGCAGCCACTTCGTAGATCCACGATCCGCTTTTTGTTCTTTTTTATATTGAAGGCTTTATAATGCTTTACTTTTATGGTTAATTATAGTATTGTTACTTTTTTACAATGATGTTGTTCTAAATATATTATAACATATTCTACTTCAGGATTCCAGATGCAATCCGGGATTTAGATCAATCTCTAAAACAGCTTTTAATCGAATCCAGAATTGAAACATGATAGAAATGCCTGGTACCTCAAAGATTTCCTGCAGAGTTGGCCTTCGGAGCGACAGATCGAGTAACTAACAGGGATCCTGAGAGATGAACTCACTGTGATTGAACCGATCAGGAAGGGAACGAGGTCCTGTAGACATTGGGAAACACTATGACATTGAACCAGATCCAGTTCGGGGTAAACTCTTGGGAGATTGGTTGAATTGGAAAAGGTAATTCATTTGGAAAACGGTTGATGTTGGTGTTGGTTGATGTTGGTTGAATGTTCAACCTCAGTTTTTTGTCCACTGTTTGGCCAATGAACGCCATGTTGACCAACCGCCCAACTTCCCAACTGAAACTGCCATTTAAACACGTATGTATATAATATACACACATCTATATATTATACATGAATAACATGCCGATGCAAGCGTTCATTTGCCTGGCAAGCAAGGTAGTATTCCTGGTGCTTTGGGTTTGACGGGCCAGGCACATCACCATCTATACCCTCCTGATACCTCCTGAATTGCATGAGGGGATCATTCAACCGTGCCCTCATAAATTGGAAGTCAAAGCTTCCCAACAGCTAACACCCAAAATCAACCTGTCCCAACCTGCGCGAGTCCGTTGCCCAGATCCACAAATCGGAGGGTCATGCCGCCCAATTCCTCATAGGTTGCCAAAAACCTGACGTCAATGAGCTTTAGCTTAGGCGAGCTCGAACTTTGGCAGGTCTCGTATTGAAAGAAGGTGAGCCGGACTCCGTGGAGATGTCACGGCTGCCAAACGTGATGCGGCGAGGACACTGGACACCCAGTACCCGGAAGGAAGATCCATTGGACCCGGAAGACCTCAGCCAGACACTCCATGTATGCCATATATGCCTACATTGACCCCTGAATCCACCCCAATGTATGTATGACATACATGGAGTGTTTGGGTCCGACCCAGAAGCTGGTTTTCGCCTCAGCTGGTGCGTTGAGTGACCTCCACCTGCTGAGACCGCAGGTCATCCGTTCGATTCCATCCGTTCGAGACCGCGCGGTGCAGACGGTGGGTGACAAAGTGATGTCTTGGCAGCTGGGAAGGCGATGGAGCAGACTAAGGAGGGAGAATCAACCAAAGCGAGACAGCTAGACAGCCCGGTCAGGCTTCAGGGCAACGAATGGAACAAGACATGCAGCCGCATTGCGATTGGCGGAATTTGAAGACGATTGGCTCCTGGGTGCCCAGCATATGGATAGAAGAAGGTGGGCACCACTTCAGCAAGTATGAATCAACTTCACTTCAGCTGGGCCAGGTCGCTCATGGAACATACGCTTGCTGGGAGGAGGACATGACTTTGGCTTGCACACTGACCTTGACCTGACTGTTACAGGGCCCAACATATCTCCCAACGCAGGGTGTGGATGAGTTTTCTTGGTTTTTTGTATAATAAATGTATAAAACGCCGACTCAATTAGACAAAAGCAGTCAAGAGTTAAGACAGATGCATGACCATGTGGATAGCCACTGATATGCCATGGAACTTTCCCTGAACTTATCATAACTTATCACAACTTGGAGTCCTCCATACTGCACTCAAACCATAACAGATGACCCAGAGCCCTATTGGGAGACGGAGCACTGCGGCTGCAGCATGTTCGATAGTCTCAGGCCAACCATGTTCCAACTCTCAACCGGTCATAAACTTCCAGTCAAATTGCCACATGGTAAAGGAACGGTGGAAGCCTTAGATCCAGATGATCCATGATCCATCAATACTTCCAGGCAATAAGCGTTCCCTCTGCATACGGTCGGACACTTCCGGGCTGAGGCGATAGCGCAAATACACATCATTCCTCCATAAGAAACAGGGTGCACAAAGCCTCGAAAGACTTGGGTTCCGAAAGCAGGTTTGCGCGGGTATACCATTTAGGCCGTATATATGTATTTTCCGAATGCATTCGAAAGCCAAATTAAAGAGGTTGCTAAATCTCTTTTGAAGTATCGGTTTGATGCCAACCAAGAAGCTCCGTATCACAATGAACGCCCAATGCAGGATGCATCGAAGCCTTTCCTTCACATACCTGACTATAGACTTCAGGGCTGGATGTGATGTAAAGGGTAAAGTGCTAAGCCTTCTCAGCCAATTAGATGTCGGGATCCGGTTGAAGGTGTTAGATCGTGTCACACTACCATCGGATTTCTTGTTTTTGATACAACATGATACAACCATTTTAGAAACCCTTCAGAAACCGGCCGAAGTGGACCAATGGAGGTACCCGGGGCGCTCATGTACGCCACAAGTCCTTGCAGGTTTTGGGGGTCGTGAAACGCAACCGGACGGGTCGATTGCCCAATTGTGCCGTGGCCTGGTGTGATTCGTAGAAGCTTCTCCACTTCATTTTGTTCATCCTCGTTTTGCTCTCTTTCATGCGTGTTCCCACCTGTGTTGCTTCCCAGTGCCACAGCCTTTGCCGCGTGTGTGGCTCTCTGCCTCGACCCGATTGACGTCGTCCCAGTCGAGGCACGAGACTGGTGGGACGCCCAATTGAGCGGGGATGCCGCGCAACGTGTGGCCTGGGGACCTGGGAAGAGAGCGGACGAAGGAACAGGCCGGGAGGACGAGAGGGACGGGAGTTGTGGGAGTCATATATCGGACAGGGGGTGTCTTATCATGATATGTCAGTGGATATTAATATGTCTTATCATGTTGCACAATCATGTGATTAATTAATGAAAAAGACTATTGCTCAGGATTTGAGATACTGCTGGGTGGATGTCAACGGATGTAAAGTCTGGAACTTGGTTTCCATACGGTAAGCTATTGTTTTAATACATAATCTATACACTCATATCTTTGTGGGACCCACTGTGGGAATATGGATTTCGTCATCATGCTCTGTATGGATCAAGGCCGAAGCCTCTCTGTTTGTTCATGAACCAAACCGAACCTGAAGACCTTTCCTTGCCAACGGCTGAGGCTGACCTTTGCCTTCGCCTGGGCGGCAAAGCCGAACATGAGCCGCTGGGTCAGACGGTGAAACAGCCACCATCGTGCTCGACCTCTGAATTCAACACACGGCTCGGGTCTTCAAACTCCAAATTCAGCCATCGTTTTGAAGAAAAACACCTGTTTGTTCCTTGAATGTTATGTTGCTTCAAGTTCTCAATGGCATGTCGGGCAGGTGAAGTTGCAGGTTCCTGGAGTAAGAGAGTCCCAGGGGCTGCAAGGAAACACGCTTACGAATTCTGGGCGAACTAATCTCCAGGCGACTTTTCTGGTTTAACCCGTTCAACACCCGAAAAGTCAACCGTTTGGGAAGCTGTTGATGTGGGTGAACAACAGACACAGGTGTTTTGGGGGAAAATCACGAAAGCTAGCATCAGCTAGCTGGAGTTGCTCTTGCTTTAGCAAGTCAAGGGCTCGCAGCCTCGAGAATCATGAATCACGTGAAAACTTCACGTGTAGGGGCCCCCCCCCCCCCGCGGGTTCAACTCCCCCCTGGGACGCTTCCGGTACGTGCTATAGTGCTATGTTTAGGTGGCAGGTGAAGTAGGCCACTGTTTGAGTTTGGAAGGGGGGGCATGAAACATGAAATTTACGCGAGGGTTCAAGGCTTCAATGATGAGCATCACGGGAAGTCAGAAACCAGGCGTATCAGATACACGTGCCTTTGAGCTTCCTTCGGCATCTCAGTGCATATGGCTGACACTTCACTCGACAAAGATGCTCAAACAAACATACATAAACCAGGTGTATCTGATACGCCTGGTTTGTGACTTCCCGTGATGCTCATGATGCTGCGTTGCTTTTCTTCAGTCCCTCATTACATATACATGACGATGCAACAGCAGATTCAACAAGCTCACATGTTCATGACATCGACATCGATAGAAGAAACCAAACAAATCATGCAAGCAGCTTTGTTTTGCCTCTGGGACACCTTTTGGGCACCTCTTATGGCATCCACACTGGTTCAACTCCTCCGTGGAGGTTTTGGGATACGGTGCAACAGATTCAACAAGCTCACAGGTTCGTGAACACATCGGATGCATCGAACAGTGTGGCAAAGTCCAGCCACGCTTCCTTAATTATCGGGGCCTTCAATTCTAAGGTTGGCTGTGTCATTGCTGTTTGTGTGTCTTGCATGTTCACAACGTTTTACCTCATGAGCATTTGCCTCACTCCGCTTGATGTCCCACCAGTCCGAATGCACCCCTGCTAGCTTTCGTCATCTACCCTCGGCCTCAAGTTTGGTTACACAATCCAGTCTTTGTTAGGAATGTACTGATGTAAACTGAAGACAAGGAAACATGGATATGGCACCTGCATTTGGCAAGGGCCACCTGTGATGAGCTCTTCCAAAGAAGATTGCAACAGCTGCATAACAGCTGCGTGTCACCACAACAGCCTTGTTTGCCAGGAATCCATTTTTGTGCTGGCGGCATGCTTCTTTCGTTTGCAGCACAGGAATGACCTGTGTTTTCTGAAAAGCCACACACATTGGTGGCATCAACATACCGGAAACAACGTACATGATCGTACATGGTCAGTCACTGCTGAGCCTTTGTGGGTAGTTAGGAACATCATTTTCCGCATCCCCAAACTGGTAGGTGGTTTCAGGTTTGTGAAGGACGAGGGTACATCCTTTGGATTTGAACAGCACTCCTTCTTGGGCTCTAAGGCCCAGCTTCATTCCGGCCACCCTCTCGCTGCTGCTGTCCCTGGCACGGAAATCGGCACTTTGGTCAGCAGATTTGTTCGCCGTGGTTTTTGTTGCTTGTTTGAATCCCTGATAAAATTATTGATAGATGGGTGGTCCATGATGAAATATCAGTAATGAAACTGATAGCTGTTCATCCCTGGAATTTAATAATGGTGTACAGGATCCATATTTTTATTGTAACACTGGTTCTTTGAAAACAAATAACCAATACAATTATAGGTGTAGCAAGGGATCATTAATTGTGATATTAAACGTGATAAATATATTAACATTCACGAAGAGTGAACCACCAAAGAGTAACTGAAATGAAATGAACATAGATGAGAATGAATGCAGACAATCCACCACTAGCAAGAATATGAAGGAACTTGTCAATGGTGGATTATCCGGTTGTTGCTATTTTGGTTGTTGCTAGTTTCTTTAAGGAATCGATCTTGGCCCCTTCTGGGATTTGGGGCCCTTGGATGCAGCGGTTGGGCTGGCTCTTGAAAGGCTTGATAATCCCAACCGCGGTCATTCATAAAATTACTAATCCTATCATATGGCCTTTGAAATTACATGCATGAAGGAATATATATATATGATAATGTTTGATCATATGTCATATACTATATATATATTACTGTACATAATATCGATTTCAGGAACTACTCTGAACTCTACCAATGCTCTTCTTTTGGGCTGCGGCGCTTTTTTGTCCTTCGTGCCCCAGGCAGACTACCGACAGGTCAAGAACAAGCCACTCTCAGATATCGAGTTTCGACCCATGCAGGCGAGGGACTCACCGGCCGTTGGCTAGCTCCAAAACGGAACCAGCCGTTGGGGTGGGAATCAGCCAGTTCGAACGGAGTGAGACTCAGAGAATCTTCTGCTAAAGTGTTTGAGCTGGATGTCCTGTTGGAATTGACCCTCCTTGCTGGCATAGACCTGCGCCCTGACCTTCTTGTAGAGGATCTTTCAGAAGAAGTGTCTATGACGACCAGAAATGTAATATGATAATAGTGTAGTAAGAGCTGTGTGGCGTGGAACAAACGTGGTGAATCAAGAAACTGTTTGTGAGCCTCCACCTCCACCCTTAGATGATGTATGTTTGGGGAACAAAGACCGCACTTATGCCCCCAAAATAGAACCCCCTCTCTGGCAGGAACAATTGCGGTGTACTCAATCACCACCGACCACCTTTACTTCTAGGACTCCAACTAAATGCATCCTCCGGGGGTAGTTGGACCCCAGTTACCTCCAGTCGCATCCTCTCTGTCTCTCTTAGTTGGACGGTCCCCCAAATGACCATGCCTTTGTTGAAGCCCAAAAGAGTGGTTGAACCAAGTTGAAACCCCCAAAAGAGTGGTTGAAACATGTTGAACGTCTTTGGTCGCCATATGTTGAAACCTCTCTTGTCTTTCTCTCCGTCCTCTCATCGAGATCTCCACATCATCCTGGGCGAGCACTGCATTGCTGGGCACCCGATTCGGGCGGCTGAGAGAAACACCGAAGGGCGGCAGCCACCGAAGTGCGCATCGGTCGAAAAAACACACACCGGGCGGTTTTCAGAGGCACGGGCGAAGATGCCAAGTAGAGCGACCAATATGGTTTCTAATAAGACTTTCTAAGCATCCCTGTTTGAACCAAAACACTGAAAAGAGGGATCGAGTGAACCGACATGAATCGGACATGAATCGGATCAAAAAGGGGGTGGTGAAGTCACCGCTGCCTCGGCAAATCGCCGTCTCGTCACCTCCGGGTGCGCTCGACTGCTGGTCTCGCGAACGACCTTCTGCTTGACCTTCTGGGAGATCCGAGGATCCGCACTGTGGGATCCGGTAACAGCACCTTATTGGAGGGGTGACCAATTGATCCACATTTGTCGGTAGTTCAGTGGGCGATGGGGTCCCAAAGAGCAACATCCGGGCAGATCCCGTGGTGCCTCCATGCGTATCAGTACATTTGTATGGCTTGGTGGGGAGAATTGCTTTGCCTCGATGTCACCACGAACCTTTTCATGTTGAAGGTCAATGATCCGACCATTTCTTAAGCCTGAAAGGGGCGATCCAGTATGCCAAGACAAGACTGGCGGCCTGTTAGAATCTCTTGTCGAACCAGGTACAGTATCCTGAACCTGAACTGGGTCATGTTTTGCAACTATATAGTGCACATCAACAAACAAAACCTCACCTTGGCACACAAAGAGCACCGAGTTCAAGAATCTATTCCTGGCCCTGGGGCCAGTTTGATCCATAGGTATAGGCTATAGAGGTGGCTAGAGTCTTTTTGATAAGATCCTGGATTCCTTCTCTTCTCCGACCCCAAATTGAAACATAGATATCGTCCCCAGACCAAACAGAGCTGTATAGGCTGGGCCACATTCTGAGCCACAGGCACCCAGGGTGACATGACAAAGAACCCAGTCGACCGCCATGCATTGGATGGTACATTCTGAAAGAATTGTCGGCAGAGGCCGAATGCCGAGCTGGATTCGAATCCAACTGAGTTGGCAGACAAGACACCATGTCCCAAACGTCCCAACCTCGACGCCTCCCGGACCCGGACCCGACCCGAGGTGAACGGAAGACTGTCCGGTCCGTTCAGAACCACCTCGACCTAACGCGTCACCCGGCGTTTCCGCCGCAGCCGAGGCCCCAGACCTTTCAGCTGGGCTCCGTTTGGGCCTCCACCTACCGTGGAACCGCCAGCCAGACGTCCGCATCACCCAGTGGAACTGGCCGGACGGGGTGGACACCGCGAGCATCCGCGAGCCGTGGCTGGGGCCAGGAGGTGGGGAGGGGAGGCTTCGGATGATCGTGCAACAATATATTATTATTATATGTCAATAGGTGTTCCTATATTTGTCAACCTTTAAGACCCGGACCAGGCCGCCGCTGAGGTAGCGGCCAAGCGGTCTCCACTACACACAAAGAGGTTGTTTTTCTGACAGCAGTGAATGGTGGTTACGTGATGGCTTACTGAGGCAGTAAGTACCTCAAGAGGTGAATTGAGGTGAATGAACTGATCGAATGAACAAGTCGCGGGAATTGCAGACAAGAAGGTCTCTTGTTTTCTGTGCATATACCAAACAAATGACATGACACAACCATAATAAACATCCCAGCAAACAAACTTCCCCAAGAACCTTGGTCGAAAGGATGTTCTTGTGGCCAGGCATGGGGCCGGAAAAACAAAATTGATCAAAATTGCTGGAGAATGTGTGTGTGTGTGTGTTGCTTCAGTTCCCAGCAACGATGTTTTTCCCTTCCACCCTCCGTGCGCCCGAGTCCCTCACCGATGCTCTCAGGCGAACTTTGGCACTGGGAGGAGGCCAGATCGGATCAGAGGGCGCCGATGGGGTGGCCGAGTCGGGTGGGATAGAACGGGGCGCCGATGTGATGCGTCAACAGCGGATAACAGCAGAAATGGTATGTAGTTGATTGTAGTTGTGTTTGTTTCTCGGACACATATTACAATTTACAATATAAACTGCAGTTATATGCTGCAGGTCCTAACACAAGTGTTTGAAAGCCAATCAAGGCGACTCTCACTTTCCACTGTCGCTGCAACCCTGGGTTTCTACCTCTAGGATATAAGAATGGACCATGGTCGCTAACAGTGAGTACTTCTTGCAAGAACAACCCTTTAAAATCTGGGGAGAAGGAATATAATTTCAATCCACTATAATACCCGGCAAACCGTGGACCTGTTTGTCGAACCAAGCGTACTCTTCATCAACCAGAGGATCCCCCCACCCATGATGAAAGTACAACATCATAGACCATCTTTATTCACCAAACCCAAGTCAAAGGTGGGTTAAAGGGATAATATAATCCATGAACCCACCTAGGATGTAATTATCACATTGCCAATAACAGATTGGTAAAAGATGATCACTATTTTGGGTTAGAGCACCTTTCTCACTTCTCACATCTTCTCACTAACCTTACATCATCCACTGTGCCCTGGTTTCTATGACCCTACCCTAGAAAACTCACCTTTGTTCAGACCCTCAAACATGCCGGAGAGTCGACCTGGTGCCTCACCTGGTGCAGGTGCCGCCCGGAACTCCGACGCCGGTGGCTCGGTGGCCGCCTCTCTGGCGGCGGAGGAGCGACCGTTCCGGGCCGACCGTTCTGGCAGCGGTCGACAAACGCGATGGCCTCCAAGCTAATAGCGTGGGGCTGGACATACACAAGAAATGGAGAGAGGTCGCGTTGTTGTGTTAATATGTTTTAATTGTTTCTTTCTCATGAGCCCCACCCAGCAAGGCCAAAATTTGAGAGGAGGATCTCCTCTAAACCACCCAAATGTGTGACATGCAGCTGCAAATTCATGGTTTGCTCGTGGTGTGTACGCAGACAAAACACGGAAGCACATCTGATAGTGCAGCTAGCAAGCTGTTTGACTAGCAAGACAGGTCACGTGGTGTTTGAGTCAAAGTCCTTGCAGCGAAAAAGTGAAGCTCACTGGATGACTCAGCTTTACTTGAAGTCTTTGAGTTTGGTTGCACATTTTCGGACTTATCCAACTCAGGCTTGTTGTTTGGAGTTTTCTTACTTGTTCCTTGTATGCGTACTGCAAGTCGAAAGCATGCTCCACACGGACCCACCCACCCAAATCAGTGCACAAATGCAGCGTAAAAAATGTGAAGCCGATGTCATGATCATAAAGGCACCCATTATGTTTCGAGCAAGTTCAATGGGCAAGTGACACCGTGATGGTTTTTTTTTTATGGTTCCTCACTTGGTTTGACCTATTGTCCTGCTTAAACAACAAGGCCTCAGCCACAGAGTTCAGCACTTCACAATCATGACGTCGACTTCGGAGTTCCAAGAATCACACCCACCTGGCCTGCAAGTGCATGTAAGAGGTTCTAGCAAACACCTGACTGCTTTCTTTGTACACTCGCAATTGAGCAGGCATTGTCAGGCCCCCATTCGGAACGAGTACTAGGCTGCTAGGAAAAGACGAGTAGAACTATTCACTCTGAAAACCAACAGTTTTCAATCAGGATGCTTAAGCTGATGTATTTCAATTTGCACCAAATTACCAAGTCTTTTTTGTTTAATAAACCTGTATCACAGGGCTCCAATGCCTTGCACACGCTACGTCCGCGTATCGTTTGGAGGTCCGTTTTTCCCTCGCAGCGCTACGTACACGCAGGCCTTGCCACGAGAGCTACGCGCTCGGAAAGAGTTGCCTCCGGTGCCCAGCTTCCATGCGCAGGTGTGGCGAGGTCGCGACCCCTCGGTCGCGACGGTCGGGGGGATCTCGAGGAACGAAACGGTGTCAGTGATGCTTTGTTTGACCTGGAAGGGCAACGACTGTGTCTATACTAGCACTATAGAAGGAACAAAATCTAAAGGTCAGTCTGACCTCATTTTAGTGAAGTTGATCATACAAAAGCAAACACTTCTCAATGAGGCCATGTATAGTTTCTACTTTCACCTTAGACTTCTTTTGCCCTCACTCATATACATGCACTTCTATACCAGGACCCCCTGAAGGGTGTTTAATTATAGCTCCTTGGAGGCTACTAGGGGTATTCATTAACCACCCCAAAACGGGGACCAGTTGTTTATCTATGTCACCGTGTTCAGCAGACTCCCTTGTCGCAGTTGAGCATCGCTTTTTGGTCCATGTCTTTGGGCTTTGATCCACACGGAACTGCAAGGCCAAGCCAGCCGGCGGAGGCGCAGGTGGAAAGGGTAAACGCCATGCTTCGATATTAATAGATTCGCAGCATATCACCGCATCACTTCTGTATATATGACCCCATGGTCAGTTCTTCAGCACCTATATAAATTGTTTTGTTCACGCAAATTCGTTGTGTTTCAAAGTTTAGACTTGGATGGGAAGGCTGATGCAAGTGCATGTGCCAGACAAGATTGCCAGGCAAAGCCAGCAGAAGCTGATGTTCCTCTATAAATCAATATACATCAGCATAGATACCTCCTAAGAAGGTCATTGAAGTGTACTTTAAGATGTTTGAAGGGTTGTGGGTCCCTATGTTTAAAGCTAAAACTGATAATTGGATCGAGTTTTTGCCTTTGCAGGAACTTTGCTGTATCTTGCTTACATGTTCTTGCCACTTTACACCACAAGTCTTTGACCAGGTGGAACCAGCACCGCGCCAGTTGCGCCAGCTGGAGCTGGTACAGGTCGGGATTGGGGATGATCAGGGATGATCGGATGGTCGAGAGTTTGGTCAGAAAATTGTGTTCGAACTACAATAAGAAGACTTGATGTGTTTTTTGGATTCCTTTTGGAGTGATGTTGGGCGTAATCGTCAACAAACAATATTGGAATAAAGGGTGGTGTTTTCAGATATGATGTAGTCTTCTTTCACGCTACATTGACGATATTTGACGATGGTGTTGATGGACAGCCAGCTCCTGTGTTTTAAGTACCGAAAAGATTAGGGATAGTGGGATACCCAATTCATTGGACCGTAGACACCTACCAACTGCAAGATTGAAATACAACTTTCCAGCATCTCTGAGGACCGTTGGGCACGAAGTGAATTCGAGTGATGCGGCACTCTGTTTGCTTACGCCTGCATGACCAGGAGAGAATCGATCGTACCCCGAGACCATCGGGTTGCCAAGGTAAACTGCGAAGCACCGTCGAAAGACGCTGAAGCAAGCAACATGTGGTGCAAAAATGTACAAATCAACCTCAGGCGAATCTCTGCTGTTTTTGCAAATTAAAGGCCTTGAAGGGAAGCCTCAAATGAGGTTTATATATCCGTTCTTCCGTCGGCACTCAGCCTTGTCAGGCCTGCTGCGGCACACTGAGGAGGACTCGCGGCGTGTGGCCATCTTTCGGAAGGAGCGTGAGACCAAGGCCAGGGGGTCAACTGGACTTCGACTGGCAGGCTGACATTCCCCTAAGATCTTCATGTTCGATCCACCATGATCCACCAGAAGTAGCCCATGGCTGTTCTATGCTGTTCTTTGTCGGTCAAGGTGTCCTACATATTTTAACTCGCCCGAGACACTGAAATTTCGGAGCTCTTGAAGGTTTGTTGAGCTCTTGACCAATACCTTCTTGAGGTCGCACTTCGTCCGGTAGAGACACCAGGTCGGAGTCCTGCGCGAGCGACGAGTCCGTCGCGCTGTCGTCCGACGTGAGACACGAGAGGGGGAGACACGAGACATAGAGGTCACTTGAGTCCTGCGGAGACGAAAATAGTACCCTATTTCGTGACTCTTTTTTAAACTTGTTGGTCATGTCCACCACGTTTTGCTGAATTTCAGGGGGATGCATGTGGATTCATGTTAGAGCGAGTGAGCTAAGTGTTCATCTCTACCTAGAAGATTCAGAAGACAAACCCGATAACTTACCATAAGACGACAGGTTGGTGCCATTTGCAGTGTCGGCATGTGTTTGTCAATCATCTTCAACTATTTTACAGTGCCATCCAAATCCAAGTAGTGACAAAAAAATAATGTAAGCACCCATCAAAGCCAGTTCTTTATGTCCTCTATTACCACATGACATAGACTAATAGATCGGCCGCTTTGGCCTGTTAAAACCGCGTGTCACATCGAGGCCGCTTTGGCCTCGCTGGAGCGCCGCGAGCGCGAGGCGACGCGGTTTGGGCCGATGGGTTTACCGTGGTTTGTTCCGAAAACCCGCATAGCGAAGGAAGAGAAGTTGCATTTGGCCAATGGTTGGTCCGTTTGATGTTTACTGATTTTTCACCACCAGCGTTGATTTTTCAAGAGGATGTTCCTCTACCACCTTTCAAGAGGTCACCAATTGGCTAGTCTCCATGGGTCTCCGACAGACATCCCTTGGAAGGTACAGGTGTTGCTGACTGTGGCTGATTTCGGCGGGTTTGGGCTGGTCAAAAAAGGTCCCATGGTGGTCGTTGTTTCTTCTGTTTTTTTTCTGTCACCATCCGATCGTCCGATATATACTAATATACTGGGTATTAACTGGGCCATGCCTAATTAGTGATGCTGTTTGTTGTGGGTGGTTGGTGGGGTGGGGCCAAGTGGTGTTGTGTCTTGTGGACGGCGAGGTGAAGTTTGGCAAATCATCCTCAGAAATAGGCGAGCTCCAGTTCTGGTTTCAGAGTTTCCAAACAAACAACACCATCTGACCATCTAGTTCTTGTAAAAGTTTTTCTGACTTGGTAGAATTATGGTAGAAAAAATAAGACACACACACAATCACACACACATTTCATTATAAACAAATCCTGAGAAAATCTGCATAATTCAGAACATGCCTTACTTTGAAAAGAGACATAAAAACCGGAGTGTTACCTTGTTTGCGTTGTGTTTTGTTCAATGTTTCCTACACCGGTGTGACACTAGGGGGTGGAAGAAGATGTGGTGGACCTCGTGAGTGGCTACCGTCCGGAACCTTGGGTGGACCGCCGCGTTCGGACGCTACGTTCGTAGCTCAGGTCATTACTCTCCCAGACACTCCATGTATGCCATATATGCCTACTACATTGGGGTGATTGGAGGGGTCAATATAGGCATATATATATGGCATACATGGAGTGTCTGGGTATACTTATACAAGTGGATCGCGGTTGATTTCGACATTTGGTACAACCATTGGCTACTACTCAAACGCCCCACTAAATGTCACTAAAGCCAGCCTGTGCTTTCAATGCAAAATGTCAATTTGACTTGGGGTACACTCCGACGAACACGTCACATGGTAGTGGAGAACCCAAGGAAAGTAGTCTTCCAAGGGGCCAGGACGTCCACTTCCATGTTAGTGAGTCAGAGTGTATGTGAAAGCCTTTGGAGTGGAAACATCAACCTAACTGACAGCCCTGAACTGAACCCCCACTTCCTCAGCACCAATATGTGAAGAGACCTCTTGATAGGCTGAGTGCGTAGTTCCTTTTTGGTCAATCTCTGGAATCATTCATACGTGATAGTAGTTCATCCATTTTTGTGTGTTCTCAAATTTGTTTTTTCTTTTCTCCAAGTTGGACTCTCCTGGCTTAATGTTTCGCTGAATCCAGCGGCAAAACAACTGGCACGCTGGCGCACGCCGACCGAGCTGAGCGTCGCTGAACCGAGGGGTGGAACGGTTCTGCTCGGAACGATTCCAAAAGTCCCGACGCTCCGTTGGAAGCGCGCCGGCACCGATGCTCAACGGTATTTCCGCGATGCGGAAAGCATGTCGACGTAGACAGAAGTTCATCCCGATCAGAGTGCTCAACCCTGTTTTCGCGACGTGCCCATTTTGTCTCGCACTCATTTTTGGGGCGCCCCGAACTCGTTCGACACCACCAAAAGAGTCGTTCACGTCGCTCGCTCGCTGAGGTGAAGGGAGCTATCCCGACGTGGAAGTCTCGCTGGCCGATGCTTCCCCGGCATGACTTCCAGCTCGCTGGGGCAGTTGGTACGGCGTGGGGTGTGTGGTATCGATTTTTGGGTGCGTTTTAAATATGATCTGAGAGTGGGTATGGGTCCAGGGTTTGTAGATGTACATCAGATATATGTACCTGTACATGTTGCAAACATGTAATTACCCAGGTTCTTCAACCTTTAACCTTTTTTGTTCTTAGGCCTGATGTGAGGGCACCAATAGGCTTGCAAAAGGTCGCTGTGGGACCCTTGTTTTGGTCACTCTTGAAATTAGCAGGCCCATGGGGCCCATGGCCCCAATTCACTTTGCTCAGAAACAAAGATGCCAACAAGATCCTTTAGATATTTGGTAGAAGCCCTGCGTTTTTTTTGATTCATGTAATTCCTTGCCCAAGGCCTCAGGCCGCCTGTGTCATCGTGACAGGGATGCATGATCCAACAAGGATCCTTAAGGATGCCTCGAGGTGGAGTTGGATTGTAGAAGAGGCTTCGAGACGGAGGAGCGGAACTTCCCAAAGCATATTTTTCGGACCAGCGGACCGTGCAGGGTTGCACCCAGAATCTGTTGCAGCCAGTTGCAGGGTTCTGCAGCGGGTTCCCCCATGGCTGAAACAGCTGAAACACTTTGGTTCTCATGCAACGGTGTCTTCCCGCAAGTGTTGCCGGGCCTCTTGCCCATGGAGAGTTGGTTCCTTCCTTCAACATCCTTGAGCATGTACGCCGATCAAACCGCGGAACCATGCGGAACCTATCTGACTACATCACCGACCACCAAACACAAAGAGTTCATAAAGAGTTCTTTGCGCCCAATTTGAGGCTTGTCAGACTTGTCAGATGCTCATCCCAAAGTTCATTTGTTCTGGTCCTTTGCCAGGTACCAAGTTCACCGCACCCTATCATCCGAACATCGCTGCCCCCTCACCCCGATCTGCCCCAGATCCTCGAGCCCTTGGCGCGTGCGGCCACGGAGGCTCCGGCTCCGGATCGGAGCTTCGAAAAAGGGAGGGGCCACATGGGGCCACCGGTCTTTTGCTTTTTGAGTGTTTCACATGAGTTGACTGATCCTAAGCCGCAGGGGGCATGTGAAACGAGGTGAAACGTTCACAAACCGCTGGATTGGAAGATTCTACTAGCAACTGTTCTCCGTCATTGAAATGGATTAATGCCTGTGGCCCCGTAAGAGGCTGCATCTTAATGTGAACAAGCTCCCAAATTGTAAGAGTGTGTGTGTGTGTGAGTGAGTGTGTGTGTGCATTTGATGCGTAAGTTGTGCCACAACCATCTCTTGGGGCCTTCTCACCAAACCGGTTTTCAACATTTAGTTTTTCTCTGCCAAACCGCTGCGATACATCACCACCTGCAAGTTGCAAGTCAATGGATTTGTCCGTCCATGACAGCCACGCATCCTCGGCATTGTCGGCATCGGCAGGACTTGGGCCTCGCGGAGGAGTTGCTGTTGGCCGTGTGGTGCGGCTTGACGGCCAAGGAGGCGAGAAGGAGCGTTGGGCGAGCGGACTGCGCGAAGAAACCTGAAACAACCACCCCAAAGAATGCCAAAATAAACAGCAACGCACTTGTTGCAGCCCTTCGCATTGAGCACAGGAGATGCCAGTGCTTAACTGCAGTGTTTTGGAGCAATTTCCCACAAATAGTTCAACGTCTGGCCCGGGATCAAGTTCCAATTTCCTTCTTCAAAGCGAGTTCATCTTGGGATCTTGAATTGGTTGTTCTTAAAGGTTCCAAATACCTTCTCAGAAGGTACTTGGAGCCCTAGGATTATAGACCTCAAAACGATTTTCCGTCGACACCCTGCGCTGCTTCCGGTGAAGGCACTCGACCGGTCGACGTTGCAGGTGCTCTCCGGTGCCTTCAACGGACTCCTCTCCGGGTGTTTGGGGGATGTGACCTTGGTGCCTCGGAGAAAACCGAAGAATGAACAAAAACGTGACTCACGCGACGCGCAAGGAAAGGGGGTCCATATAATATTATGTCAATTTTTTTTAAAGGTCAATTTTTTGGGGTCACAAGACTAGCACTCTTTACATTCAATATCTATACTCTGGACTCTGGATTAATCACCCCACATAGAGATTCGGAACCAGGGTTATGAATCCACAGTGAAAGCGCTGGTCAGAAAGGCCCTTATGACACCAGAATCAGTGTTATGAGTAATATGGTGGTGGACGAGTGGGTTGTAATTATCCAAGTTGTAGTCTTATTTGGATTGACCTACTAAGCTGTTGTGCATTGTTTTTTGTTTTCAATTTTGCATCAATGTTAAACCCATGAATTGTTCCATCAATGTTAACTCCATAAACTCTTCATTGTTCCTCTTGAATGCAATGGTCATTATCATAAGTGTCAAAGCCATGGCTCTTTACACTGCCCAAGGTTTATGAGCTTGACTAGACTCATAAAGAAGATTACATGCTGTAATATCTATTATTCGGCTGCTTTCTACCAACTCATTGCCAAAAATAGACCTGTAACTATCACTACCACCACCAGCATGAAATGTCAGTCTCTCAAATGGGCTCCATCGTTTTCTTCTCTTACATAATGTCTATCTTCACAAGTAATTAGGTTATGGTTTAGTCTCGCAATATTGCTTGTTGAAGTAACATTGCCACCTAAATAAGAAGCACCATTAACAGCGACTTCATTTGTGCAATTTTGTGATCCTTTGATATCCTTTGATTGTTCAATCACCTGCTGTGTTACCAATCCTGACACCAGCATCAGCAAAGTAGTTAAACCTCATTTCTTGATTTGCTCCACCAAAACAAGGAGCACCTTAAAACTACGCAACCGTGCCAGAAAAAAAAGTTATTGAATGAAGCCTATACCACTTATCAAGAGTGTTTGATGTGCTACAATCAAATGTGCAATTTTCTATTTTTGAAGCGTTTCCACTGGGATTTGAATGTATGGAAATCGTGGCGATGTCGCGTTTGGTTGGGGAGAAGACAAGGCAGCAGCGGCAAACAAAACGCCGATCGCACAGGCAAACAAGTGGGGAGACAGGTGGGGAAAACACGTAATTAAGGAGACAGGGCAGCAGTGGCACACAAAACGCCGATCACAGCAGACCAGCGGGGAGACAAGAAAGAAAGAATGAAAGAAAGAAAGAAAGGGGATGTGCGCATATACACGATGAGGTATAGAGGTTTTCGTTCTGAGGGCTTTCCTTGCTGGCATGGGCTCTGACCTCGTTCACCCTCTCGTTCACCCTCATTCCGATACCTCTTTGCAACTTGTGTGAGTTGTGCTAGGGAAGGAATTTCAGAACACATCAAAAACATTGCCGCGACTTCGCGGCTGAGTGTAGATGTAGATTACATAGTACAACTGGGATTAAATCAACATTTGAGACAACATGCGTGCAAAGCCAAGAAATCAAATGCTACTATATATGACTATGACCCTTTTTTGATTCAAAATGTCTCGAGCAATATACTTAGTTTGCTGCTTTTTGTATTCTCTCTACACCTCTGAACAAAAACTCTAACAACAACTAGCTCAAAACCTAGGGTTTGGTGATACTTTGGCCACAGTTCACTGTAGCAAAGTGTTTTTGCTACATGTTGTGCACGAACATATTTTCCAAGAGCATTTGTTCTGTTAAATTTTGGGTACAAAAGGTACAACAAGCTTAGCTTTACTTGTGAAAAAACAAAATATGTATACCCTGGAGGTCAACGTCCTTAAAAACAAAGGTTCTTAGTAGAACGTCCTTTCTTTGCATGTCCGCCCGATCCTGCCAGGTACAGATGACATGTTGAGAGTGTGGAGGCCATTTTGGCACAACCCCCACGATGAAGTGTGGGGGCGAGACCTCAAAGGCATTATAGGCCGGATCATTAGAGGCAACCTTTCTGAGCTAGACCTCCACAGCTTCTAGAATGGGGCAGTTATCCATGCATGATGGGATCAATGACCAGCAAAGACTTGATCCTCCCGATCCTCCCACTCGCCTTGCTGGTCATGGGGCGGCCATGAGAAAAGCACTTGCTGCCCGCCCGGTGCTCAATTATGATCATGAGCTCAGCCCGATTCAGTCCTCAACTAGTTGATTGATTAACAACCGTTCGTGCAGCTGTAGCATCAACGCATATGCAGGGCTGCATTCATGAAAATAATTGGGCTTCCACCAAGCTGTCCCCAAGGCTATTTGGAGCGACTCACTGGCAACGACCTCATCAATCTGGATGAACTCTTTGGTACCATCCCGCCGACCTGCTTTACACACATGCACACCCTGCCAAGAGCGTGACTTGGTCATGTGCAAAGAAAGTGTGGTCATGAGAGGTCATTGAACTATTTGCCAATTTGAGAACATGTTCAATCGGCTTATGACCAAAGTTAAGTATGTTGATCCATATCGATCCATGTATTCCGGATTGTCTTTTTTTGGCTGGCATCTCCGGAGGGCATGGGGAAAAGACATCATGATCACAGTTCATGACAATCGTCGTTGGTGGGAGAACAACATGTCGGAGATCCAGCCATGGCAATTCACGCCAAAGCGGCTGAACCCTCAAAGGGTACAACTCATCAAGGAGCACCCAATGGTCCACATTGAATCCATGATATATCCGTTTCATATACTGTATGTTGAACTTGGATCATGCCAGCTCCTTTGTTTGTCCTTCACGATGTCTTGTACATCCACAACCCTTCTGCAGGAGTTCCTCAGAAGCTTCTGTGAGAGTGACGACTTCCTCACGAACAGGCGCAAATCGCTGCGTCTCAGGGCTAAGCTTCGTGAGGATGACACAAAGTTGGTCATCAGCTCAGATCAGACCGCTGGCTTTCAGAGATCGATGCAATATGATGCAATATATTTTAGGGGGGTCCCTGAATTAGATGAACGATCAATTTGTTTCATCGACCCATGCAAGGTCCCAAAGTTCCGCTTTTTCATCTTGGAGGGATCTCGACAAGTCATCTCGGAGCGTGAGGCCCGCACGGAGGATAGATGGGGCTTGTGTTGGCATATTTTGTGGAGTCATAGTTTTATGGGAACCAACTAAATATAATGTGTCCGTCCCCTTTGCAGGTTCAAAGTGACCACAACTATGAGTTCATGCTGGCTTACCTTGCTTCCTTCGCACATGACTTGCCACGGCGCAAGGAACTCGAGGCAAGATCGCTATCTCGATCAGCTTTTCCAATTGGAAGGTCTGTCATTCCTTCTTACCCCACACAGTGCAATGAGATACTGAGTGGAACATGCAAACATTAAGGGTCTCCATGATCCAGCTTCAACCGCACTGGCCAGTTGGGTTTGGCATGGGCATCGAGCCACTACCGCCTCAATCCTTGGCGCCGTCCCGAGCAGCATCAGGCTGGACCCCGATCTTTGCCAGTGAGATGTCCATCTGACACGAACCTAGCACGTTAGTGGCCTAGTATTATATTAATTAGATCGATCGATGCGATGTTTATTTGTACATGTTTGTACTGTAGTGCACGCATGCACGTATATATGCAGTACACGCGCACATGCATACTGGCGTGAACAATTCTTCCATATTCTTCCCATGGCCCAGGCATGGGCCATCATTGAGGCTGGTACTTTGATGGGCGCAGCGTCATGGTGCATGGAACGCTTCCAGCGAAACCCTGGGGCCAGGCCATCTTCGTTTATCCAAGAGTCTACCAAAAAATGGTTGCAGCATCATGCACGCATGGATCCTTTTATAGTATATATTGATCGATAGCTCATTCGGGAAGATTTTTGATTTCTATTACGCCGCACTGCACTCTAGCTGATATCGGCGACTGATGTTTGTTCCAGGCCTGGGCACGAAAGAGCAGAGAACCTGAAGTGTGTGATCCGCTTCAAGCTGGAGGACTATCTTGCATCTGTGGTGTCAACATGCATATAGCTCAGGTGCTGCACTGTGAATATACTTGAATATACTTGTTTCAACTTCTGTGTTTGTGGCGTGTGCCATGCATCATATATTGATCAATGTGCGCACATGCATGCACATGCGTGTCATATATTGAATACACCACGAAGCTTGCACCGGACAGGAGCATGATTTGCTAACCCCCCCAGGGGAAGAAAAAGCCAAGCCGTGGACGTGGACTGAGTGAAAAGAAGGTCTGTTGGATGGGGGTGATGTGTAATTGTGCCACTTGAACTTACAAGTGACAATTTTTGCTTGAGAAGCCTGTGCAACAAAATCGTTTTGTTTGCAACTTGTCCATGAATCAACTGACAGTGGCCTGAGTGTTGCTGAATGGGCAGGAGAAGGCTCCTGTCCCGGACGATGAAGAAACCCAGCCGCTGTCTGACTCAAAGGCTCAATCCTCTTCAGGCGCATTGCCAGAACCGCTGACATCACCAGGTATCGACTCTCAATGGCGCCTGGAGAGGGGACACTCCACCAGCCACTTGGGCAGTTTGGAGCAGAAGTTCAGTGCTGTTGCTCAGCAGCCCGAGCTTGATCAGGGTGAGCATGGTGAGGAGTGTGAGGAAGAGGCAATGACAGATGATGAATGCATTGCACCAATCGTGTGTGAGTACCAAGATAACGATACAGTTCTTATCTTGTCGGATGATGAGTGCGTCATGTCCCCACAAAAGGGAAAAGCTTCCTTGGGGCCCATTGAGCCAGATGTTGGTGCTTCTGGTGGCAAAGCACCCGTGGCAAGTGTGCCAGCTGATCCACAACGTCAGGATGTGAAGGCAGAAGTTGAGGAGGCTGAGGCTCCTGGCAGTTCAGCTGTGCCTCAACCAGATCAATCACAAGTAGCACCAGTTCTGCCAGCAGCATCTGTACAAAAGGAGACCGAGAGCAAAGAGGCACAGATTGCAAAGGAAGAGGAGGAGGCCATTACCAGTGACCAAGAGCAGACATCGAAAGAGAAAAAGCAAGTTAAAGCAACCTTCAAGGTG